TCTGGGTTCAATCCTCAATACTAAATATATATATATATATATATATTTTTTTTTTTTTTTTTTTAATTAGAGGAATAAATAGGAAACTTAATTCTGATCATGTATAGTGGCAGGGGAAGTAGACAAGGCCAGGGAGAGTGGAAGCTCCATCAATGCCTTTCTATCATTTTGATTTTTTAATCTTGAAAGTATCACATCTTATAACGTGTCCAAAAACAGACCTAAAGCACAAAAGTCTGTGCACATAGGAGTGACTTTGGCACACTGTCAGCTGCCGCACCGTCGTCTTGCTCCACGTCGATGTCTACCCTGGATGGCACGTAGGAGAGGGCAGCCAAAGGGCTTCTCAGTATCTGAAGTTATTGGCCAATTCTGGAAAATGGGAGTGTCCGTGTCTGTGCTTGGCGAGAGGGAACCTGGGGGCTGAGGTGAGGAGGAGGGTGTCTTCCGTTCCTGGTAGGTGTCCTGCTGAGTCTGTGACCAGCAGTGAGCCTGGTGAGCAGTAGGCAGAACCCCTAGCACCTGTTACTGTTCCTGGCCCCACTGGCTTAACGACCTGAGAGCTCAAAGCCACTGTGTCTTCCAGGCCCCTGGCGCAGCCCCCCGGGGCTCACCCGGCAGGGCTCTCCTCTTGCTGGGAACTTCCTTACCTTGTAGGCTGCAGGTCCTTCCTCCGGGCAACAGTGAACTCTTTCCCGGGGGCCGTGCCTGGTTCCGAGTCCCACGCTCCAGGCTCCCCGCGTCTTCACGCTGCCGTCATGCTCCACTCGTTAGGCATGGCTGCCTGTTGGTCTGTGTCAATTCCAGGTTTCCTGCTGTCCCATCCTCTGTAAGAAGGAGAGTTGAAGCAGGCTCTTTCCCCCATGCCTCTCTTGCCAGATCCTTTGGAGGGAAGCCTACAAGTGTTCCCTGGTTCCCTGGTCACCTGCAGGGCCCAGGGCCTGGGCTGGGCTTCCTCCTACTCTTTGCTCCTTTGCTGGGTCTGTTCGCAAGCTGCTGCCACCAGTCCTCCCGTGTTTGCCTGCGTGTCCTAATTCCTGAAATCCTAGTGCACAGAGACCCAAAGGAGCAGGGTTGGTTTCAGTGTGGTGGGGGAGGGTCGCTGAGAAACCATTCCTTTTTCTACTCTTTCCTCTGCTCCCACTTCTTCTCACTCTGGCCTTAATATGTCATAGCCGTGCTTGATCTCGGGAGAGCGCAGACAGCACGGCAGAGCCTGGGAGGTGCTGCCTGCTGACGCGTGGCAGCTAGAGCCCTGCCTTGGCTGGGCCGGACCCTCTCCACCAACCTGTGCTTGTTCAAGGCGCAGCACCTGTCTGTCTCGCCTGCCCTTGTAGTTTGAAGCCTTGCATTCCTTTCAGTTTAATGAGGCCCTTGGCACTGCTGCAGGGCCAGACCCATGGAGGTGGGGCCTTTCCCTATCACAGTGTCCCCAGCAGTTCAGGAGGAGGATCCCGAGCTCAAGGCCAGCCTCAGCAATTTTGCAAGGCCCTGAGCAATTTAGTGAGACTCTGTCTCAAAATAAAAAATAAAAGGGCTGGGGATGTGTTTGAGCGCCCCTGGGTCCAGTCCCCAGCACACACCAAAAAAGATTCAAAGGCAGTTCTGGGTCACCTTTGCCTGTGCATTGTTCTTAGAGATTCTGTGGCCAGTGGTCTGTGTGAAGGTCACAGAAGTCCCCCTCCCCTTCATTGTTCTTCTTATCAGTAAGGAGGAGCTTTGGGCATTCCTCCTACAGATAATAGTTTTTTTGCTGAAAGTGTAGCATGTGCTATTGACTTGAGCCAGGCAGGGCCAGAGTGACCTTAAGTAAATTGCTTTTTAAAAGAAAGCATTGGGTGGGGGTGGTTAGTACAGTATGCCTGGTCTATAGGATTATCTCCCTAACCCCCTGCTCCTGCCATTTATGTCTCTCTGCTACCTGTCAGTCACTGGCAGAGTTAACAGGCCATAGGAGGTTGCACCCTACCCCTTTGGCAGGTGTCACTGGGGAAGGGGCACAGAATTTTGAGTGTTATAAACCAAGATTAAATGATACCTGCTGAGCACTGAAACTAAGGTAGATGTCTGAAAGTATCATTACTGCTGACTGCTCCACCGTGTAACAGCCTCATCCAAAGGGAGAACGTTTAATAGGCACCTCATCATCACCAGGCCCAGATCTGGAGTTACTGTTCACGTGAAACTGGTGTCTCAGGTTCCCTGGCTCCAGAGGCTGATTCAGAATTAGTAGGTTCTGCCTTAGTGATGCGTCATCACACTTCAGCAAGGCATGGTTAAGGGGGCTGGGGATGTGGCTCAAGCGGTAGTGCAGTCGCCTGGCATGTGCGCGGCACTGAGTTCGATCCTCAGCACCACATACAAATAAAGATGTTGTGTCCGCCGAAAACTAAAAAAAATAAATATTAAAAATTCTCTCTCTCTCTGTCAAAAAAAAAAAAGACGTGGTTAAGGTGCTATACATCCGCGGTTGGGCTCTGATTTGATCTCTCAGTCTTCTGGTTGCCACACAGAAAAGCAGCTCCTTTCTCAGAAGGTTTTCCCATTGCTGAGGACATCTGCCGCTCACTCCTGCCCTGGGGCGGGGCATTTACAGGGAGGACAAGTCCATGCGCTTTAGTCTTGTCAGCAGCCTCAGTTAAGGCGAGGAATCTCTTGTTTCCTAAAAACTGCAGGCTTAATTGGCTTCCCCGCTCAGGTTAAAAGCAGCAGCCGGAGCCCACGCCCCCTCTCCAGCCTGCCTAGTTCCCATCTCAGCAGAAGGAGGCCAGTGTCCCACCCCATCAGTTTAGAGCTGCCCAGAGAACTCCTCATTATAACAGCATGCTGACGAATGGGATGGGCAGAGAGCTTCTGGGCTGCAGTTGCCAGCAGATTCCACCTGCAAAGCCATTCTTCCTCTGAGAAGGGATCCTGAGAAAAGGGGCACTCCCTCTGTCCCCAAGAGCAGAGCCTCTGGGAGCTGGTGAAGTGCATCTCGCTCTGTGGGCGCATTATCCTTAATGTCCTAATGGATTTTCCTGCACATAGACCCTGGACCCCCAGTCATGCCAGGCTGACCACTTAACATCTTGTCCGTGCTTCACAGGTCCCTTCCTCTCCAAGAATAACGGCATTCCTCACCTCTGTGCCACATGACAGTGTTTTCGTGGCTCTTACGTGTTACTTGGTCTTCGCACCACCTGAGCACAGGTTCCTGAAACCTAGCTGGCAAGCAGGAGAGCCTGGCCTTCAACCTGGGTTCTGTTTCAGATCCTGCCCCCTTTCCTCTCTTCCTCAGCTCCATGGGCCTGGAGCCTCCTGAGACATTATCCTCAACCCCTGAATGTCCAAAGCATGATCATTTCATTCCTACGAAGAACTAGCAGTTGCAAAATGTCCCCCAAATCAGCCAGTCCCGTGTGGAGGTTGGGCTACCAACTCCAACCAGCCTCCGAGCCAGGCTGCTTCCTCTGCATCACCCAGGAAGCTGCGTGCCTGGTACGGCAGGAAGCCTCTTTCCTCCCGGGCACCCATCTCCTCCATCCCCAGGCCTCATTCTTGCCCTCCACCCTGTAGCACACCCTCCCCTTGGGGGTCTTCGGCTTCCACCAGTGCCCCTGCGACTCGACTCTGGTCCCACTCCAAGCTTCAGGTCTGTGTCCACCTCCTGCTCAATGGCTCCCTTGTGTCTCACAGGTACCTCCAATGCTGACCACAGGGCTCCCACCCTGGAACCCCGTACCAAATGGTCCCCCATCTCTTCAGGCAGTAGTGCAGGAGGTGGGCTCCCCTGCCCCTGCCTCTACAGCACCTCTCACCTCATGGAATCAGCCCCACGATGTGGCCCTCGTGTGGGAGCCTCAGCTCTAGTCTGGCCCCTTCCAGCCAGCCTTTGTTGCCACTGCAGGAGACCTCGGACCTGGGGCCCTGCTGCGTGTCCCTCGTGCCTCAGCTCCTGCTGGCCCTTCCACGCCTCCTGGCCCTGTGTGATCTGCTGCTTCTGCCCGTTTCCCTTCAGTCCCTTTCCTCCCCGGCTCTCGCTTCCACCCTGAAACAGACCTGCCCAGTCCTCAGCCTAGCTCCTGCAGACCACCCACCCGCAGCTCCTGTGGCTCTGGTCATGCATGCTCGGGTCACCTGTACGTGGGCTGTCAGCTCCTTTGTCTCCCAGCAGCAGAGTGGGACATGATCACACCTGTCTCCAGGAGCAGGCCAGTGCTCACGTAGTAGGCCGCAAAAGTGTGACAGACAATGACCACAGCTGGCCGTGTTCATGTGTTCCAGTGACCCTGAGAGCTGGAGCCGCTTGTGCACCAGGCAGTTGGCCCAGCACTTACCTTTGAGTAGCTCTGCCTTTGGTCGGGGACTTGGACCTCTAGGAGGCTCCTGTTAAAACATGACCGTGAGATGAAATCCATAAGTATTGTATCGGTGTGCGTGACTTTCCCTGTGTTTTATGAGTCCAAGCAAAATCCCCTGAAAAGCTTCAGCAGGCGGGAAGCTGTAAAAACAAGTGGTGTCCAGTGTTGGACATGACCCAGCAGGACTGGGTCTGGGGGTTGGGGGCTGGGGAGGCGGAAGCCGCTGTAAGCACAGCAGCCTGTCCAGCAGGGAGAGATGCAGAGCGTGGGATTCAAGGCACTGGGCCACATCAAGCAGGGGTGCAGCTCACACAAGACTGCCAGCGAGTGCACGTCCCAAGGCACCATGCAGAAGATGAGCACAGGCAGAGAGGGGAATGGAGGCTGAGCATCCCATAGGAAGCCAGAGGGGGATGAAGCAAGCCAACGGCGGAGGGCTTCCCCAGAGGCACTCAGGTGCTGCCCTTTTGGAAGTTTGTTGGGCCCAGCCCCTTTCCCTTGGCTGAAGAAGCGTATCCATGCACAATACCTGAGCTGTTCCCAAGGGAAAATGCCTCTCAAGGAGCAGGACTCTCCATGCGTCCCTCGCCGTACTTATGGGAAACAGGGGCCCAGCCACACTCACACGTTTCTTCCTCTGTCTCCTTTCTCCTCCAGTCGTGCCAAGCTGACCTCGTGAAGGACAACGGCCACAAGTACTTCCTTTCCGTCTTGGCTGACCCATACATGCCAGTAAGAACCGACCTCATTTGTCTTTTGGAGGGTCCTGGGAGTTGGGTCCCCTCCCTCCCCCCCACATGTGTGTCTGCGCAGCTCTCTAGGGAGGAGCAAGGTGGCTGTGGCCACTTGCTTATGGAGTTTGGGGTGTGGGCAGCTGAACATGCCGTGCCCTTCCTGCCCCTGAGAGGACAAGTTGACCTGCATCCCAGGGGGCTTGGTGGGCTCACGCCAGTCACCCTTTACTGGCAAATCTTTGTCCCCTCCCTAGCACCTGTCCACCCAACTGGATGGCCCTGCCGGCACTCTCACATCTATGGCAAGGTGACTCAGGTGCCTCGGAAGCCCTGGAGCATGGCAGGATCTCAGGAAGGAGGGAAGACGGGAGGAGGAAAGAAGAGATTATTTAAAAGCTTATATTTTAAATATTTTTGTTATTAAATTATTCAAAAATTAGATGTTCACGGATATGATATATACTAACTTGTCATAACGTCTTAAGGTCAATGTCATTGTTCCCACCTCCAGCCCTAGCAAAGGAATGAGGGCAGAATAGACACTCCAGATAATTCCTTAAAGTAATTTTGCCAGAATATTTAAGCATATTATCATTCCAGGTCACTTTGGTTGTGTAAAGGAACTTCTGTATGTGATTTCACCCTCTACTTGTTTTTCTAAACTAAATGATAAAAGAGAGAGAAACACAAACAGTACAGAACTGTTGTACAGCAGGTCATTGGTACTTGTGTGCTTCACTTCAGTGACATATCTAAACATTCCCACAGGCGGTTTGATATACTTCACATGAGTCCTGGAATAAACCTTCCCGTTACTCAGAGCAAGTAGGAAAACCAATCTAGCAAAGGAGAAAGGGCTAAGCTGCTGTGGACAGGCCGCAGCTCCAGTGCGTGAGAGTGTGAGGGTATAGCCAGGTTTGAAAGAGAAGGAATTGTCAAATGCCAGAACTGAGAGACCTATGGAGCCCTGGTGGGGCCTCCAGGATACCACACTCCACACAGACCCTGCACCTGTGCAAGTCGAGGCCCTGAGCAGACAGCACTGCAGCCGCGCTCACGCCAGGAGCCCGAGAGGCGTGCCCTGTGCCCTCACTAACAAGGACGAGCAGAGCTGCCCCGCTTCTGAGAAGGACTGCTTGTCCATGTCTGGGTAGAAGGAAAAGAAGGACCACCTTGGGCCTGTTCAGCCTATGGGGAAGTGCGTGAGCGCCACAGCAGGAAGTCATGAGGGCCACTCCCGGGTCCCCTGGGGGCTGGAAGATACCTATTGCACAAGGCCTGGGGACTCTCCCAGAAGCTGGCTTGCCCTCAAGGCCTCCGTCAGGTGCAGCAGGAAGAACTGGCCAGGCCACAGTAGGAGAGCTGCACCCAGGAACGGAGGCTCATGGAGTCCCTGCAGAGACTGAGTCGGCATAAATGAGAGTGGCAAAGGCCCAAGACAGTTTGGTCTAACTACATCAATGGTAGATCTAGGTGTTGTTTTTCAAAATAGTTTTATGCCTGCATAAGAAAAATGCCCTGTGCTTCATACCTGTCCTCAAAAATAAGTAGGAAGATCTGAGGGAAAGTAAAAAGTGGAACCTAAAACAGAAGAACAGACCGTGGTTATCGCTGAGAACTCAGCAGGCGGAGTGGACGGTGGAGGAGGAGCCACGGGGTGTGGTGTGGGTGAGCTAGAGAAGACTGGCCTGGGAGGAGCAAGACCCAGAGGGTGAGACGCAGGCGCCAAGTCCACTGGGGCTCATCTCGTTCCAGAGCCAGGGGAGGTGAGGCAGAGGAGAAGCCACAGTCAAGCACACTGTGACTGAGAACTTGCCAGATCTGGAGGAAGGATGGGGTTTTGGATTTCAGAAGCACAATGAGTCCCCTGAAAGCCCAATGAAAACAAATTCACCAGGACACACTTTAATCCAAGTAGCAACTGTCAGAGGCGAGGAGGAAAGTTCCAGAAGTGGCCAGCCTCCCCCCTCCCCCGGAAGGCCACCTGCAGGGCCAGCCCCTGGGTGGTGAGGTGACACTTCCCACTTCTAACTCCCAGAAGGCACCAGCAGGCCCATGAGAGCCCAGAGGGAAGAGCAGGCCGCGGGAGCAGAGGCAGTGTAGGCATGCTGGCAGGATGTCAGTTGCCACCAGGTAGAGGGAGAGAGGCAGAGCGCGGGATTCAAGGCACTGGGCCACAACAAGCAGGGGTGCAGCTCACACAAGACGGCCAGTGAGTGCACGTCCCGAGGCACCATGCAGAAGATGAGCACAGGCAGAGAGGGGAATGAAGGTTGAGCATCCCATAGGCAGCCAGAGGGGGATGAAGTCAAGTTAGGATGTTCTCTGCTGGCCTTCCCTGGCCCCGCTCATGGCACTAACAGGTCAAGGGTGCAGTCTGCCCACCCAGGCGAGCCCAAAGCTGCTCTTGCCCTCTGGGTCTTGCTCGTCCCAAGTCAGAAAACAGTACCAAGGTGGCCCTCATTCTCAGCCCTGCCTCGGCCACCCTGAGGATGTGCAAGGTGGTGCTGCTATGCTAGGGAACCAGGAGCCACCCTGGGGGAATGTACACCAAGGCTGGCTTTGTTTTCCAGGCTGAACACAGGACCATGACGGCTTTCATTCTTGCTGTGATCGTCAACAGCTATGCCACAGGGCAGGTGAGTGTCCCAGTGGCTGCAGTCCCCCTGAGCCCTCCCCTGGCATTGCAGAGGAGACTGTTTCACCCCACATGTCACAGAGCTGACGTTCAGCCAGCCTGCCATGTTTGCAGAGGGCACTGTGCTTCTGGCAGTCAGCCTCAGAAAGTGGGCCAGCAGGGCACACCAGCCAGGGCTGCTGGTGCATGATCAGCAGAGGCCCGGCCCTTCATTTAGCTCACCATTGTGGGGGCGGATTGAATCCATGGGGTTTAAAATGAGGAAAGTGGAGCAATCCTGTATTGTGACTGAGCAAGTCTTCCCCAAGAAATGGCAGCTGCTGCCATCCAGGCCCAGAGTCTGAAGGCAGAGAACCACCTGTCTGTATTGTCCTGCCCTGTCCAGGAAGCCTGCCTTCAGGGGAACCTGATTGCCATCTGCCTGGAACAGCTCAGTGACCCCCACCCACTGCTGCGCCAGTGGGTGGCCATATGCCTGGGGCGGATCTGGCAGAACTTCGACTCAGCAAGATGGTGTGGGGTGAGGGACAGTGCCCACGAGAAGCTCTACAGCCTCCTTTCTGACCCTATCCCTGAGGTGAGTTGTCCTCCTGTGGGTTGCTCTAAGCCAGACCAGGGTGTCGGGGTGCCTCCTGCCCATGTTCCTACTATTGCCTACGGAAAGATCATGTTGGAACAATTCAGAGGCTTTCCCAGGCTAGAGTGTGGGCTTACGTCCCAAGACTCCAGGGCCACGTGGAAATCACACAAGCGGGACCCTGGGATCTCGGTGCAGTCATGCACTGACAACCTTTCTGAGGTCGAAGGGGCAACTGCGGGCAGGCCAGGCTCTGCACTGTAGCACCTTGTGGGGCCAGGCTAGGCTTCAGCTGCAGCAGCCTGCGACCAGCACCCACCCCCAACCCCGGCTCCCAGGCAAAGGCATTATGCACGTCAGCCACACAGCCCTTGGCTGGCCATGGGGGTGGAGGCAGACTATCCAGGACCCCACCTGCCTCCTCATCCTGTGGACCAGCTTGAATGGAGCCCATGAGGCTCCCAGACCCCCCCAATGGACTGAGACCTAGCACCTATGGTGGCTCCAGCTGCCCCCAGGGTAGGTCTCTGGGGGATAGGGCTCGGTGCAGGCAGCCTGCTACCAGCAGTGCCCTCACTGCCCTTGGGGGCGGGACGAGTTCTCCAAGCCTCTCAAAGGGAGGTGTCCTCAGGAATAAATCCTCGGGGAAATATCTTTAATTTACTTTCCAATTTTTTCTCAAAGAAACAAGGTGACATAATACTAGAAGTGTGGAGAGCCGGGGAGGAGCTGGAGGGAGCAGGCGCTAGGCATGATGTCCCCTCAAAGACTAGGCCAGAAGAGAAGCAGGATCCAGGCAAGCTTGCCATAGGTGGCCAGGGAGTTGGTCTGAGTGTCCTTGTAGCCAGGAAGACAGCCTCCCCAGGCCTATGGTCCCTGTGGTAACTGAGGGCTGGTGGTCAGAGGCCAATCAGTGGTCCCAGCCTGAGGCCAGTGGGATGTCCTGGCTGGTTCTCATGTGTGGTATGGGGCCCTGGGCAGAGTCCTGGGCTTTCCAGAGCTACTGCCCACAGGCCAGCCTCCTCATGTCCACTACACATGGACTCAAACCAGATGGAAAACCAATGTCATTCCCCCAGACCCTGTAATCACTGGGACAGTGCCTATAAATGTGAACAGTGCCCCTGAGATATGAAGACCAAATGTGGCTCTAAAGTATCAGAGCCCATTTAGAAAGGACTTGTGAAACCCACCAGGCCCAGAAGGCAGGGCAGGGGCCACCAAGTAGTGTCTGTGGAACAGGGCTGGCAGGGCTCGCTTAGGCCAGATGGCGCTTTCATTCAGAACAAAGCTTCCATTTCTGCAGGTCACACCACAGCTAGGATGTGGTACATGCAGTTGCTGGTCGGTGCCCTCCTGCCCCAGGAAGTAGACCCTGATGCATTGTGGCCAGCTGCAGGGAGAGGTGGGCCCTGATGACACAGGTGGCTAGGGAAGGGTGGCTGAGTCCCTGATGGCAGGATAGTGAGTAGGAGCTTTGGAGCAGGGACCTTCTGGGTGGTGGAACACAGGACCTGACCTGCTTTCTCCTGCTGCGTGGCCATCTGCTTATCATGATGCTGGTCACCTGGGCTGCCTGTCCCCAAGTTGCTGATAAAGCACTCTGCCCTCACGTCTTGGGTACTTAAGGAAGGCCTCCTGCTGAGAGCACGGGTGTGTGTTGGCTGACAGTGTTGGGGCAGATCCTGGTGCACCCCATGATCTGCATGTGGAGGGTACTCCACAGAGGTGCAACCATCTGCCCAGCTCACTAAGACCTGCCAGCTGCTGGTGCTGCCCAGTCCCCCTTGTCACACGGTGGCAATATCCCCTGTGTGACCTCAGGGCTCACTCTGGAGGCTATTTGTTGGACTTTGATGGGGACAAGGGACCCTGCAATGTTTGTCAAAGATTATTACTGCATAGTTGTCAATAATTCAGGGTCTAAACTGAAACTGCCACTGTCCCAGGTTTGAGTGGAGGGCACTGTCCTCTTGGCTCGCTGAAGGGTTCTGGGTGGCAGCCCTCTGTGCACTTCACACCTCAGTAGGACTTGAGCTAAGTCTCTTGGAGAGAGCAGTGGCACCTGTCCCAAAGACACCAGCCCTTGTTTCAGGGATGCCCTGTGCCCATCCATCTGGGTATCAGGTCTCCCTATGGCTTTGGAGAGCCCTAACATCATCTCTCACCTCCTGTGTTATCAGAGAGCAGAATCTGCCTTTTGGAGGAACAAAGCCTCTTGGTGAGACATCTTATGGGTGGGCAGTTTGCCCAGAGAGGAAACTTGAATAGCAGCGGGAGGGCCTGGCTGTCCATGTGAGAGGGCAAGCACTACTCCAGACACTCGACCGCCTGCTCGGACCCAGATCCTGCCTTGGCTGCCGACAGAGGTGGCCCCTCTCCTTCCCAGGGAGCTCTGCACCAGCGTGCCCGCCCAGGAGCATGGGCTGCTGTGTGCGCCGCGCGTGTGCAGCTGACGGCAGACAGCTTCTTCAGCGTGCTATGAAGGCCTGCAGCTGCTCAGCACTCTCCCTGCCCACTGAGGGCTGCACAAGCAGCCTTTGAGCACGCCCAGGCTGCCGCAGCACCCTTCCCGTCTCTGGTGATGGCACCAATCTTTTCCCTTAATTTCCACAGATTATTTTTGATTAGGTTTTGTATGATTAGGAAAAACACAAGAAGTATATAAATCTGCATCTGAAATGTCCAGAATTGGTTTTTATTGGTGATGCTGGTCTTTGTCTTAGGCAGGAGTCCTGATCCCCCTGTCCTCCCATGCTATGGTCCTGTTGGGCACAGAGCCACTTGTGGGACGGAAGGAGAGTGAGGTGTGGGGGCTCAGGAGCACGGCCCCAGACCTGCAGTGCACCCCATCTGCAGATTGGGAAATGCCTCCTCAGGATCTGGAGACCTCAGTTTGTGCTGTGGAGCTCTGAGTGGCAGGGACTCACAGCTCAGGGGTTGAGACCTACTGGACCTTCCCGTTCTACCTACTGTGACTCCAAATGCATTCAAAGCATTATCCAGGATCCCCCACACAGACTACTCACACCCACAGCAGTCTTACCAACTTTTATTGAAATTCTGGGATTTTTCATGTTATTTCCTTGAATCTTCCTGCCACTCCTATGTTAGAGATGAGGAAATGGGCAGCATGAGGTTGGCTTCTTCCCCGGGATCACAAGACACTGGAGGCAGGAAAGCTGAGCCAAGACCCTTGGACACCATGCCAGCCCAGGGTGCCCCCCTCATTACCTCTGGACCCCCAAGGACTCAGCCTACCCCGGCCTCCATTCCACTGTGTTTCCAAAGCCGTCTCCCATACTACCCCTTCCCTCTAAGCCCAGTCCAGCCCCTTCCCCAATACACCTGTCTTGTTCAACCACAGATTCCACAGTGCCCAGGGATTCTTTCAACTCCAGCGGAAATGCAGCTCCCACCTCTGCAACCTGGTCCTCGTGCCTGAAGCTGGGGCCCTGATGACCCTCTTTGGTTCCCCTGGACTTCCCCATCTCTGCTCCATCAATACGAGTGTAGCTCTGGCTTAGAGTACTGTTCAATGAGCACGTGTGAAATTGAGTTGAGCTGAGCTTATCTAAACTGGATTGGATTGACGTGCAGGCTTCTCCCGGCAGATAGCAAACGCCAGCCATGGCATAACTATGACCCCATCCCTTGCCTTGTAGGTCCGATGTGCAGCTGTCTTCGCCCTTGGCACATTTGTGGGCAACTCTGCTGAGAGGACAGACCACTCCACCACCATTGACCACAACGTGGCCATGATGCTTGCCCAGCTGATTAATGACGGGAGCCCCATGGTCCGGAAGGTATGTGAGGTGGGGTGTGTTCTGCGGGTCACCTGGAGAGTCTGACAGGGATTTGGGTAGTTGGTGCAAGTGGCCAGTGCGGGATGGTGGCAGTGTCTATGAATGACTTGGCAGAACCTGACCCCAGCTCAAAATAGTGGTGGAGAGGATTCATTTTGTAGACAAATCCTGATTTGTTTCCTCACATCTTTTCAGATCTCTGAGCACTCATGTTGTAGCCTTAAACTGTCCTAAAAGATAGGGATTGTGTCCATCTCCTTGGACTAAGCATTTGGCCTGAGTCACTTTAACTCCCGGACTCTCCTCATTCCCTCTTAGGGGCTGAGGCTGACATAGCTATGAATGTTCTAGAGGACGCACTGCAGCTTGGCAGCATAGCCTGCTTCGGTTTGCTCACCAGACCTTGGCGTCGAATAGAGCAGCCCTTTCCGCCCAGGGTGGCAGGACTGATACCTTGCCCACCCTGGAGTTGTGCACCCACATGGTGGCCCCAGGAAGTCCCACATTGCTCCCACCTAGCTTCCACAGGCTAAGTCTGGCAGGCACGCGGTGTTCTTTGGAGGCCCTTCGTGCCTCAACGGCCATCCGCTTGCTCATGGCTTGTGCCCGTGCCGGTGTCTGATGCCAACTATAGTCCTGCTCTACTCTGTTCTGTTGCAACTCAGTGCAGGTGTTAGTTCACAGGCCTGTGATCCAGTGGATTTCCAGCTCCCGTGAGCCTAACTGTCCCTTCTCCCTCTCGACAGGAGCTGGTGGTAGCTCTGAGTCATCTTGTGGTGCAGTATGAGAGCAATTTCTGCACCGTAGCCCTGCAGTTTATGGAGGAGGAAAAGAACTACCCCTTGCCGTCTCCAGCAGCCACAGGTACAGCTGGTGACCCTGGCCTTCGCCACAACATCAGCCATCACTTAGTTGGGCCAGATCTGAGTTGAGGTTTCTGATACTGGCTGTGGATGGCCCCCAGGGTTTCCATTGTCTTGGGCATTTAGCCAAATATAAAGGACAGGAAAAGGGGCCACACTCTGAACCTCTTACTCTTTTCCTTCTTTCCCTACCCTTTTTGGAAACCAATTTCATGGAAATCTTGAAGGATGGCAAAACTGTGGCACAGGGACTTGCAGAGAAGAGCATTAGCATCTTCCTGTGGTGACTAATGCAGCCGCATTGCCGTTGGTCGAGTTTCAGTGAGTCAGGCGGAAGCAGCCTCCGCTTGCTGGAGCACAATGGGTTTTGACGCTGGTGTTTCATCCTGGTGGACTGCCTCTTCCTCCAGGTCACAGTGGAAGGGGCTCTGACCCCCAGCAAAGTATTCCTCTCTGTCCATCAGGGAGGATGAAGAATGAGCTGTGGACCAAAGCAGCCAGTGACTGGAGGGAGGCACCCCCAGCAGACCACGCGATGGAGCTCAGCCCTGCTGGCGCTCCTAGGCAGGGTCCATGGCCCGCACCCCTGAGCACCTTGTGGGGACAAGCTCACTCTCAGACTGTGCACTGTCTGTCCAGCTGGATCCCAGGCTCATGTCCGATCTACTGAGCTAAAAAGCCCCTCTTCTACATTCTTTCTGCCCCAGTGGCAGCTGCTGGCTTCTTGCTGCACCTGCAGACTTGGGGGGGTGTGCAGGGTGTGCGGCCTCCTGCCACGAAGCCTGTCACTATCTTTCTTTCTTCTTTCCTAGAGGGGGGTAGTTTGACCCCAGTGCGAGACAGTCCGTGCACCCCCAGGCTGCGCTCCGTGAGCTCCTATGGAAACATCCGGGCTGTCACCACGGCCAGGAGCCTGAACAAATCTTTGCAGAATCTGAGCTTGACGGAAGAATGTAAGATCCTGGAACTCTGTGTAGGTGGGAAAGGTTCAGGGTGTTACTTTAGGAAACTTTTATCTAAGCAAGTACCACTCTGCCTCAGCCCTTCTCTGCCAAGACACGCACCCTGACTTCCTGTCTGCGGTGCGACTAGCCAGCTCTCTAGGGAATCTCCTTCTAGTCACAGGTGCAGGAAGGCTGTTATAGTTGAGCACACAGAACAGCCGAGGGCACTTCACAGACTTGCAGGGAGCAGCAGTCAAGGCTTGGGTGCCGTGACCCCCGTCCCCGGGAGACCATGAGGGTGTGTGCACGCATTGTGCCTGTGTGTGTTAAGCCTCGTGTTGTAGAAGAAAAGCCCACCTCAGCAGGCTGTTAATTGTCAGAGCAGAGGGCAGGCCCTGGCACCACCCTGACCTGCCCCATGTGTCCCGGCCAGCGGGCAGCTCGGTGGCCTTCTCCCCTGGGAACCTCAGCACCAGCAGCAGCGCCAGCAGCACACTGGGCAGCCCCGAGAACGAGGAGTACATCCTGTCCTTCGAGACCATCGACAAGATGCGCCGCGTGAGCTCCTATTCTGCCCTCAACTCCCTCATAGGTAAGCCACCCCACTCTGCCCTCCTCCCTCAACCCACGGGCCGGCCCACTCCCCAGGACAGCACAGGCCTCGGTCCAGGTCAGGCAAGTGGGCCAAGACTGTCACAGTTGAACAAGAAAGAATCAAAGTTGACTGAACCACGAGGAGGTAAGAACAATCTGCCCCAGGACACAGGGAAGCTGGGGTCACTTTGTTTTGATAGGACAATGTTTTATGGGTCAGTCCAGGGTTAGGGGAGCCATTCAGCTCTCTGGTGTAGGAGGGCTGTCATCACTGTCTCTCTGACTATCTGCACTGGATGGACCTGTCCTGTTGGTTTCCAGCTATGTGTTCTTGCACCCTGGGAGACTGGCTGTTTGTCACAAGTGGGCGACTGGGGTGCTGGTATCAAGGGAGTGGAGGCCAGGGGCACTGGCCGACTCGCCACAGCACCCAGGCCAGCTGCACCCAGTGAGGTGAGAGCCTGCTGCAGGAGGCAGAGGGCGTTGCTCCTGGGAAAACCCTCGGGCCACCTGCAGAGCCTCCTCCTGGTTCCAGGTTCTGCTACCTGCTCGCTGGTGTCAGTGGAAATAGGAACTTGCCGTGTTTTCTCTTCGTGACTGTTTTTGAGATTGCTGGCAACAGATGTAGCCCTGACCCAGCAGCCTCCTCCTCTCCTGTTCTGACCTCCAGCCGGTCCCAGTCTTCACAGGGTGTCTTTAATGTGGAGAAACACGTTGTATGTTCCACAGTGACAGGGACCAGCACGTGGAACCTGCGTGTGCTGCGTCCCCACTTGCACATCATAGAGGGAGCCTGAGCCCTGCCAACCTGCTGTCCCTGAACCCCTGGCAGACACAGCCGCCCTGGAGGCCTCTGATGCCACAGCCGCCCGGGGGCTCGGGACCTTGCAGGCTGCCTGGCGTTGGTATTGACCTCGGCACCCTCTCTGCCGTCTGCTCGCATCACACCCACAGAGTCCGATCCTTGCTCTGCTGTTGGGCGTGCGACACTAGGCGAGTTGTGGCTGCCTCTTTTTCTATAAGCAAACAGGACTTGCCCCCTACCCCCCAGTTACTGGGGTGCTGTCCCCACTCCCTGTTCCCCATCATACCTGTCTCCGCGGGCTCCAGGCCCTCCTGCCCGTGCCCAGTTCCTCAGGGTTCTGACCAAATGGCCTCTCCATAGATGCCTTCCCTGCCCACACCCAAGGAACGCATGTCTGATTCCCTGTCCCTCAGCCCACCTCCAGGCGTGCCCTCTGTCTCCATGTTTGGTCTGCTGGGCCTCCCAGCCCTCCTCACGCCGTGCTGGCACAGGGCGGGTGTCCAGCCCGAGGTGGTGTGCACACACCGGTGCCTCTTGTAGGCCCCTGAGTGGAAGGGCTGTGTGAGGGGTGGTGGCTCATTTGTTCAGGGCGCCCAGCTCCGTTGCTTCAGTGCCAGCGCTCGTGGTCCTAAGGGGCTGTCTGGCTGAGAGCAGGAGCTGATGGGAGGTGGCCTCGGCTCCTGTGCACTCGCTGCCCTTGTCAGTCTGTCAGAGTCCGCTACTAACTCTGGTGCTGCGCGCAGCTGGTGCCCCACTAGAAGTCCGTCGTCCCCTGTCCTTGTGTGGGTGCTGCTCAGCGAGGCCTGGGTGTGTCTTCCTCAGGATTGCGCCAGCGTCTCCGGCGCTCCTCGTGTCTCACACAGAGACTGGGAGCTTTCCTTTTCCGCGGTGCATCTTCAGCAGCTCCTACATCGAGTGCTCTCCCTGTGAGACTCAGTCTGGCTGCTTCCCACAGTGGCACCTGTTGTCCCTCTCCACCTCCTCTTCCTTCCTCCACTGACGCTCCGTGTCACCTATGCCTGGCCTTCCCACTGTGACTAAGGGAGATCCCTCAGCCAGTGGGAGCCCTGGCACCGCGCTGCGGTTGGGCCTCCAGCCTTTGGCACTCCAGCCTGGCACTGTGGGGCGGCCTGTTCCAGCTGTCCTCACGTGCCCCTCCCCCTGTCATTCCTGCCGCTGGGTTTGCTTTTCTCCCTTTTTTCATTAGTCTTACAATGACATTTGTTAATTTTTTAGTGTCTTCAAGTTCTAACTTTGCTTTGTTGATTTTCTTTGTGATTACTTCTTCACTTTGTGTTCCTCTGATTTATCTTTATTCCTTCTGTGTGTGTGTGTGTGTGCGCGCGCGCGTGCGTGCACACTTCTGGGGATTGAACTCAGGGGCTTTTCCACTAAGCCACATCCCCAGCCCTTTTTATTTTTTATTTTGAGACAAGGTCTCCCTACATTGCTTACTTAAGTTGATGAACCGGCCCTTGAATTTGCGGTCCTCCTGCCTCGGCCTCCTGAGTCACGGGGATTATAGGTGTGCACTACTGTGTGCAGCTTATTTCTTCCTATTTCCTTAGGTTTATTCTCTTGTTCTTTTTCATTTCTGAAGTGAAAATAAAAACGGCTCATTAATTCTGAGTCTTCCTTCCTTCCTAATGAAGAGTGTGAACTTGCGAGCCCCTGTAGGGCCTCTGATCTCCACCCCTCCCACTGACAGGCAGGGTTCTCTCTCTTCAGCTCTGGGTTACTTTCCGGTTTCCATTATGATGCTTTGAGAGTTGAACTCCTCCCCCGGCACGTTAGTTTGAGATATCTGGCTCCTGGCTGGGCCGAGCTGGAGAGAAGGCAGCCCGGACACACCTGAGGCCTCAGGACTGGCCCCACCACCTCGCAAGGCTCAGGGGACCTGCTTGGTCCTGCCTATAAGGGCAGTCTGTCTGGTGGTTCTGTAGGGCTCCGACCAGCTGCTCCCCAGAGGACCAGCGGCACACAGGTCTGGCCGCCACGCCCTCCAGGGTGTGAGACCTGAAGGAGGTGCTCCGCTCACCACACCAACTCACAGGGACAGTCCCTTTGTCAAGCAGCACTGAGGGCCTTGGGCCTTTGATGGTTTGCTGACACGCCCTGTGCCTAAGGCACTCGGAGCACACGCTGTGCTGCTGGATCACCCCAGGAGACAGTTCTCTGTCACCTGTGACAAGTGCCTTTGAACTGGAATGCACCTTTAATGCAACCAAGGTGCAGTGGTAGATGCCCAGGGCATTTAGCTGGTGGCGCAGGCCACGGGCGAGTGCTCCCTAGCTCCAGGGTCTGGAGGTGGTTCCTCGGCAAGCAGGAGAGCCCAGCCCACGCCTGCCTGGGCTTTGGTTCTGGCCCTGATGCACTAACTTGTCCTGTACACCGTCTCTGTGGTGTTGGATCAGGGATCTTTTCCTTTGAGGAACACAGACTGAGAGGAAAGCATAGGCATCAGGGTCTCGGGCCCTTGCCTCCTCGCTTGTTCCTCTCAAGGATCACCTGTCCTGCCTCCCCATGTTCCTGACACCCTTCTGTGGGAGTGGAGTAGCTCGGTGGACAGAGACTGGAGAGGGCCTGCATCCAACGAGGGCCCAGCTGTGCTGCACCCTCTGGACCCCACATGATAGTGGCTACAGTGCACGTGGACCCTGCACCACGTTCCTCTCCATGCCCAGGCCAGAGTGCCAGCCCAGGAGCATGTCCCTGTGTGCATTCCGTCCCCACTTGTCCACTGGCCATTCAGGACTTGATGGAGAGGGGCACGGTGGCCTGCTACCAGCCACAGGAGTCTTGTCCCAGAGGCACTGCCCAGGGTGGAGCTAGAGGCCAGGGGGTCTTCCTTGCTGAACAGTGGCATTTTGTACCAAGCTGGAAATGCATCCCCATATAACAAATCCAAGATAGAGCTGATGCTGGTGGAGGGGAGGGTGCAGAGGGACCACAGCAGCAGCCTGGAGCCAGCCTGGCCACCATCCTCCAGCCCCTGGTCCTCAAGACCCTGTTGTCACCCCTTCGCCAGGAGGAGGAGCCTCCAGGAGTCACAGTCGGAGTCAGACCATAGCCCAAGCCTAGGAGATGGTCTGAAAGCCAAGTCCCGAGCCTTCTGCCCGGCTCAGAATCCCAAGACAGAATAACTCCTGGAGAAGAGCCCAGACACCACCCTCAGCCCCAGGCCTCCTCTGCTGTTCCTGCCCTGTGGCCTGACATGACCACCTCCAAGCCATCTCTGTCCCTTCCCTTCTTCCCCTTGGCTGGGAGGGTCCTTGGCAGCCTGCATGCAGCTCTAGGCCTCTCAGCACGATACCTGCCAGGCCTGGTCTGGCTAGAGCGTCAGCTTGCCTTCTCCTCCACGGACAGGCCCTGCGCTCAGCTACAAGGAAGCAAAGCAGCGGAGCACAGCAACCCAGGGATCCCACCCTTGGCTGGAAAAGGGTGATGAGACCTTGGATGGCTCTGGCCCCCCTGCTCAAGATAGACAGCTTTTAAAGCCAAAGCCCCCACCCCAAACCCTCTTGCTGTTGCTGAGAGCACACACAGGCACAGTGGGGCGCGTGGCTAGTGAGGTGGTGCAGGCTGTGGGGCTCTGTCCTTGCTGGGAGCAGCTGGGGCCACAGCTGGCAGAGGGAGAAGGGAGGGCAGCAGAGCGCTGACCTGGCTCTCCGAAAGCTGCTTCTGGTCGTGGCTCAGCCTCTGAGGAGTCAGGCCATCCCAGAGAGCCCCTTGGGGCACCAGGGACAGGAAAGGGACAGCATAGAACCACCTCGGCTTGGGAACTGGTTTCTAAAGAGAGGTGGAAGGCTCTTGGCCACCCACAGCCCCAGATTCAACGTTGAACCTGGGTCCTTGAGACCCCGGTGAGGGCTTGTCCCCACTTGTCCTGTCCATGCTGCAGGGCAGGGCTCCGGGGCTCAGGCTTGGCCACAGAGCTCTGAGTAGATCTCCCTACATCATATGCTTTTTCAAAAAGTTGGGGCCCTTGCTCTGAAATATAAATCCTGGAAACGGCTGTCACAGTCTTTTATTACTTCTGGTCTAGGCGTGAAAATAGGTTCTCTTCATCTGGCAGGAGCCCGGCACATGGCCAGGGTCTGCAGGCAGGCCTCAGGTGTCCCTGCTTTGGGTTCACATAGTGGCCTCTATCTCTGCGGGCAGGTGGCTGTACTCTGTTTTGGAGACAGCAGATTTTAAATTGGAGCAATCCATAGAACAGGGAACCTAAGAGAATCATTATCCTGGCCTAGCAGAGAAATGAAGGTAAATAATCAGACCAATTCCTTCTCACAGTTTTGTTTTTACTAGTAAATAATTATACTATCCATTATAGTCAAAGAAACTAGCAAAAATTAGATTTTTTTATTCCCTGTTGAGTCATGAACAGTGTTACATCAAAGTCAAAGTCTGCCAGAAAGTCAAGACAGTAATAAAGACAAGTTGCTAAAAAATAAATGATAATAATGGCTAATAGGCATCACCCTCCCTCTCTCTCCCTGTGGTGCTGGCCCCTCCTGCTGGGGCCCTGCTGGCCACCTCCCCCTGGGGATCCACATCTGTCACCTCCACCCAGCACATGAGGCCTGGGGCCACACAGCTCCAAAGGGGTGGAGCTGGGACCCCACACCCCTGCCAGCAGCACCTGTTCAGTTAAGGAGCTGCAGCCTGCGTCCTCATGTGCCCACTCCCCTCCCTGCCCGCCTCGTGTCGCTCCCCTCATCCCACCCCCCTGTTCTGTGACGAAGGTCTGTCATCTGAGTCAAGCTGGGATTTACTGTCAGCACCACGGTCTCTTCACAGCTCAGTGTCACACGGCAACTGAGCTTCACAGGAAGCCACTTCCGATGCGTCACTCGGCCAGAGGATGCCTGTGAGACCGAAAATAATAGAGGGGACAGGGTGTTGGATGGGGGCTGTGGTGAGCGAGAGGCACCTTTGCGAGGACTTCCTGTGGCTTGGTGGAGGCCCAGCTCCTCTCGGGCTGGCCACCTGCTTCCTGACTGCAGCTGCGCGCAGAGCCACACAGCGCCCTTCTCTCTGCCTGCGTCACAAATCGGGCCTGCCTCGAGAGTGACTTCGGAGCACCTTCCTCCTGCCTGCCTTCTCTTGAAAAGACAAAATGCAGGCACTTCCTGGGGGTCCCCCAGTGCCCAGAGCATGGTCCTTACAAACAGGCCATCTGCTGGGGCAGGGATGTGGACTCCATTTGAGAAAGTGTGCCCACAGAGATTCTGGATGATTTTACCAAACATTCTCCTTAGAGTTGGCTGTGGTCTAGACAGCCGTTGGGAGCTGTGGAATTGGGGTTGGAGGTTCTGTTCTGAGTTAAAGCCGGGTAGAAGGAGAGCAGGGTTGAATGGGCTGGGGTTTCCCTGGGGTCCTCCACACCTCTGTAGGCCTCCTCAAGCTGGACTGGGCTGTGTCTCATTTCTCAAAAGTTTGGGTCTCCTGCAGGCACGGGGCTCTGTGAGCAGGGCCAGCGCAGAGGCCTGGGGCTGCTGACCACGTGAGTGCACGTGAGCACAGGTCGCAGTCACTGCCAGGCAGTGTCACCCAGATGGTGGCCTTCCTTGGGTCTGGGCCTCCCAGTGCCTCTGTGGTGGGCCTCCAGGGCAGGGACAGAGCTTACCCCCACTCAGAATGGTGAGGAAGCAGGGGCTTTGGTAAGCTCTCGTGGGGTCGTACCCTCCCAGTCTCCTCTGCGGGCGAGGGTGATGGAGGTGAAGTGCTGCCCACCCTGTGTCCATAAATGAGAGGGCGGGGGCCGGTGAGCAGCCGACACAGCACACACCCCGAGGAGCCCCTGAGCAGGGCTGGCTCTGGCCGCCTCAGCCTCCTTCCAGTCTGGGGCTTCAGTGTGTCTCACGAAGCCCGTCCCACTGACCGCGTGCTCACTGAGCTACTCTCTTGACAGCAGGCCTGGTCTCGGCTCCTTGGTCAACCCAGGGGCTCACTAGAGCTGTCTGAGGAAGGGTCACAGGATCACTGCTGATTTGAAATTCTCCTCAAATCCCTTTTTGTTGTTGAATAGAACATGTGCTTTTCAGCAAATTGTCCAGCTTCTCCCAAAATAAAAAGAATGCAGTTATGTGTGGCTTTCTCCCTGCCCCGAAGCCCCTGGGAGCCTGTCGTCTCTGGCTCCCCCATGGGAAGCCAGCACCCATCTGCCACAGCACGAGCCTGGGCACTGCGGGGCTGCTCTGCCCTTCCCCACCAGCCACATCCCACGGCAGCCTTCGCTCAGACCACACCCCTTCAGGTTCCCCTCTGCCTCTCCCATCTGCTGTGGTGTGGCCCTGCTCCCCGAAGCCTCCACCCTGGGGGCTGACCTCACCTGGGAGCCCTGAGCAGTGTGTCTTCCTCTGACGCGCCTGGGCCCCAGTGGCTCCTGTGTCACCTGTCTCTGCACCTGGGCTGCAGCACAAGGCCTTGTGCTGTGGGCGTCCGGCACCCTCTTGGTCAGTGCTGGCCATTAGGCTGGGAGACCTTGGAGCAGAGTCATGTCACATACACCTCTCATGTTCTCCAGGAGCTCGGTGCAGCGCCATATGTGGGGTGACCAGTGGAGCCCACACACCATGCCAGGGCCACAGCAGCTCCTGGCATCTGGGACTGGAGCTCAGATGCCTCCTGGGGACCAGCGGTCCTCTGTGGTCTGCAGGGGCATCCCAGATGCAAATCTGCCCTGTCCTATCCCAGCTTTCATTTGGGGAAGACCTAGGCTCAGAAGATGAGAGTGGGTGAGCGGTCTGTGGACCGCTGGGATTCTTGACTCCCTGGCCCAGGATCAGAGAACTCACTGGGGAGCTTCCGTAACCCTCGCTCTTGGTACCATGGTTAAATGTCCAGAAAACAGTGCCTCAGACACCAGCAATGCGTGTGCCGGAGCTGTTTCCACTAAGACGTCTCCTGTTTCTTTTCTAGGAGTTTCTTTTAACAGTGTTTACACTCAGATTTGGAGAGTCCTATTGCACCTGGCTGCCGACCCCTACCCAGAGGTGTCTGATCTGGCCATGAAAGTGCTCAACAGCATCGCCTACAAGGTACGTACGCTGGGTCGCTCACTGCCGCACGCGGAGCTCATTTCCAGTCATGGGAGTTCAAGCAGGAATCTCCAGGCAGTTTAAAAACACACCACCCAGGCCGGGCGCAGTGGTGCACGCCTGTAATCCCAGCAGCTCGGGAGGCTGAGGCAGGAGGATCACAAGTTCAAAGCCAGCCTCAGCAAAGGTGAGGCGCTAAGCAGCTCAGTGAGACCCCGTCTCTTATTATTTCATAATAAGACTGGGGTGTGGCTCAGTGGTCCAGTGCCCCTGAGCTCAATCCCTGAGATAAAAAAAACCACCTGCAAAATGCGTCAACCTGGATCATGGGATGCCTGACCTGTGCGCACGTGGCTTAGTCGTGAGGCCCTCACTGCTTCCCACACTCCTCGCATCTGTGTGCTCCGTGTTCCTCACGTCCCTGGGGCGACTGCCCCTCTCCTGGCTCTTGTGGCGAAGGACACTTCAGAGAGCTGGCTCCTGGCTTGGCTGGCTCCTGTTGTCCTCCGTTTTCAGTTTTGTGGCTGGCAGCTCCCCACTCTCCCTCCCTCTGCTCCTGAATTTCATCTGCTCCTCTTCTCGTGCTCGAGGGAGAGCACAGGGCATGGGTTGATAGTTCTCTCTGCGGGGAGTGTAGACAGTCCCCGGTTCTTTTGTGAGTCCTGGGAATTTGGCCTGATGCCTTCTAGTTTCTTGTTGCTCTTCCTTTCTTTTCCCCTGTACTGAGGATGGAACCCAGGGCCTCATGGCAAGTGGCCAGTCCCTCACGCTGGGCCGCACCCTCAGCCCTATTTGTTTTTTACAACAGAAGGCATTTGGACCTAAAGCACGACTTCGCCTTCCTCCGGCTGTCCACGGTGCGGTCACTCCAGTAGTGTAATCACACATGTATGCCGGGTGATAATGTCCGTCTCTTTCTACCGTCCTTCCCATCCCCACAGCCCTCTCCTCCCCTCACTGCCCTCTACACAAACCAAAGTTCTTTCATTCTTCCCCCACCACCCTCCTGCTGCCCCACTATGGATCAGCATCCGCTTATCAGAGAGAACATTCAACTTTTGGTTTGGGGAATTGGCTGATTTCAGTTAGCATCCATCCTTTTACCTGCAAATGCCATCATTTCATTCTTCTTTAAGGCTGAGTAGTATTCCGTTGTGTACATGTACCACATTTTCTTTATCCATTCATTTGTTGAAGGGCATCTAGGTTGGTTCCGTAGTTTAACTATTATGAATTGAGCTGCTATAAACATTGATTTGCCTCCATCACTGTAGTATGCAGATTTTAAGTCCTTTGGGTATAAGCCAAGGAACAGGATAGCTAGGTCAATAGTTTCATTCCAAGTTTTATGAGGTATCTCCATATAGTTTTCCATAGTGGTTGCACCAATTTGCAGTCCCATCGGCAGTGTATGAGTGTGCCTGTTTCCCCACATCCTCACCAACACTTATTATTGCTTATATTCTTGATAATTCCCATTCTGACTGGAGTGAGATGAAATCTTAGAGTAGTCTTGATTTTCATTTCTCTAATTGCTAGAGATGATGGGTATTTTTTCATGCTTGTTGATCGATTATATTTCTTCTTCTATCAAGTGTCTGTTTAGTTCCTTAGCCCATTTACTGATTGGGTTATTTGTGGGGGTTTTTTGGTATTAAGTTTTTTGAGTATTTTATATATCCCAGAGATTAGTGCTGCATCACTCTCAGCCCTTTTAACTTTATTTTGAGACAGGGTCTCACTGAGTTGCTGAGGCTGGCCTTGAACTTGAATTCTTCCTCCTCAGCCTGCTGAGTAGCTGGGAATGTGGACCTGTGCCTTTTACCCCGCCTCCTGGTGTTCTTTGCCCAGCCTCAGGAGGCTGCCCCACCTATGAGCAGAAGAGTATGGAAAGCTCAGGGCCCTCCCTTAAGACCCTGGAAACTCCCCTCCCTCTTCTCTACCCAGCTAATCCCAGCGCCCACGCCTCCCTGGAGCTCAGCGTCTGCGTCCTCTCTCCCCAGAGTTCCGGGCTCACCTGGGTTTCTCTCCTCTACACTGCAGCTGGGGACTGGCTGGCAGCGGCTTGTAGGGCATATGCTGGGACCTCAGACCCAAGGTACCCAACACCTAGCATCTAAAAACAGTCGAGCAGGTCTTTCTGGTACTCTAGTTGCTTACTGAACAACTACACTCTTACCTGGCAGCTTTGCTTTTATGAATGGAGTTAGAGGTTATTTACTTTAGCATTTAAAATGTTTTTGCAACTTTTTGATAATTTCAAGCTTACAGAAAAATTGCAAGAAGAGTACAGGGAAAGGTCACCAGGTCTTACAGCTTGCTGGCACCCACTCCAGACCAGGTGCCGGTCACTGCCTCTGGCCGCAGCACAGCAAGGACCATCCTTAGGTGCTGCTTGTGAGGCCCAGGAGGACCAGGACCGAGGCTTTCAGCCCACCTGCTTGTTCCTTCCCAGCGTGTCCTGCAGCCCTGCCCAGCGCCCAGCACCTGCTGGACTCCACTTCCTGCAACTGCCCCTGCGCTGGAAGCCTGCTGCCCGGCCCCCCCCCCCCACACCACAGCTGCTCCTGTGGCTTGAGCTCTGTCTTTCTGACAGTGGCTGTGGCTGTCCTTCAGGTGGCAGTGACAGAGCCCTGTGGCTCCCCAGTGTTCCAATGCAGTAGTCTCCAGGCCCATTTTCTCTAAAGCCACAGCAAGAACGATGCAGAAGTAAATCCTGGTCCTGGGCTCAAAAGATGTGCTCACATTTGGCACCCTAACCCTAGAAGCGTCCACTCACTGGTCAGCGAGACTTCATTCCCTTCCTCCCCAGAACTTCTCCTAGTGTCACAGCATCAGGCACCACCCTCCCAGCTGGGGAGAGCCTGCATTGTTCACTCTAGCACTCTGACCCCCTCGCTCAGTCCCTCGCCACTGGGTGACCAGCTGCAGCGGCCTGCGAGACAAGGGCATTGGCGCTGTGCTCATCACTACCTGTGGAAAATGGCTAATCAAGTTAACATTTTCATTGTTAGTAGAAAACTACTGGGTTCATTCCCTGGCAAGAAAGAAAGAAAAAGAACCAATACATGCTCCAATCATCTGATTTCTCAACTGAGAATAGGATTGCTTCAAGTAGAAAACTGTTTAAAAATGTATGTTTCATATTATGGTCTGAGACGGAGGGAGGGGAGAAAGGAAACAGGCAGGAAGAGAGGAGGAAGGGAACTTGAGGGAAGGCTGCAGGGCCCTGTGCCCAGCACCCCACCCCGTCAGCCGCAGGTCCTGGGCCCAGAGCAGCGGAAGCTTTGGCAGGCTAGGGCAGCGTGTCATGGAAGGCCTGTCCTACCACTTATCCATTCTGCCAGCCTCTGACTCAGGCTCCACCAGTAGTGCCAGAGCTCAACAGTGGGTTTGAGACATTGTTTTCACCAGGAGTGGAGGCTGAGGCGGGAGAATCACTAGTTCAAGGCCAGCCTGCACAACTTACCAGGTCTTATCTCAAAATTTTAGAAGTTGAAAAATAAAACGGGCTGGGGGTGTAGCTTAGTGGTAGAGCACTTGCCTAGAATGTGTGAGCCCCTGGGTTTTAGTCACAGAAATGGAAAAGAAGGGGTGGGGGGAAAGAATCGTTTTCACTTAAATCATTTTAAAAGCTTTGTATGGATGTTAATGAATGCTGTAAATTTAGAATTTGTGTTCAGAGAGCAGAGGCTGGCTGGCCCCCTCCTTGCCATAGCCTCTGGCACGTACAGGTGTCCACGCCCTCTCTACTGTTCCTGGAGGCACAGCATGGCCTGCTGGCCAGGGCCACCCTTGCACTTCCTGGCAGCCCAGCTGCAGGCCTGGGCTTGTCACTTTGTCCCACCTACTGTGGCTTCTTGAGTATTTTAGTCATGGAGACTCAGTGCTGCCCTGGCTAAAGCTGCCTGGATCATGTCACACTGCAATCCTGGAGCCTGGTGTTAAGCCCGCTGGCTGCTGTGACCCGACCTCTGGGAGCTGGGTGCTGCCCAGGAGCTGTCCTCCCTGCACTGCAGGAGAGGCGCAGCACCGCCACCCACCCGGGCCCTCTGAATTGTGTGCTCAGGCTGCAGCTCGGAGCCAGGAAGGCCAAGCCCCCGGGTCAAGGAGACTCAGCCTCCTAGGTGTCACCTTGCATGTAGGCAAGCTGCAGCCCCTGAGGAAATCACCTGACGTGTCCTGACCGAGTCCCGGAGTCCCCAGTAAGGTGGCATTTGGCCTCTCTGCCTGCTTGGCTGGCCTCAGGTGGCACACACCCAGCGTGCACGTGGCCACCACCCTGAAGGCACACCACAGCCGGAGCAAGATGGCCTCTCTGGGGACCCTGCAGTAGCACAGCGCCACCTGTGTGTGTGCGAGCACTGCACGTGCGTGGGTTTCCGAGTAGACACGGCTTCTGGAAGACTGGGAAGCATGAGTATTAAGGGAATTTTTCTTGTTCTCATTTTAATTTCAAGAGGCGCCTTACCTTCCGTTGCAGGAACTGAAGGGATTATATTTCATTTTTACAGAGAAATGAGCCTATTTTAGATAAATTCTGAGGCCAAATTTTGTTCATCAGAAAGCGCCTTATTACTGTGGGACGCCCCTTAGAATTCTTCATTCAAATGCAGGCGTTGAGCAGGCCTGTGTGAAAGAGCCCCCTCCCCACTACAGCCTGCTGTCAGGTTTGCAAACCCTCTTCCGTGGCCCGAGGCTTGCATTTTGCTTTAGTGTTTATTACAGAAGTAGAAAGAGGAAAACAAAGACCCCAAGGAACCGGCTGTGGCTATGGCCCCAGCAACCCCTGGCATCATATGCCTGTATGGAATGTGGGCAGACCAGGTGTGTCAGAAACCAGGGGCTCATGTCCCTGACCCAGGCAAAATGTCCAAGTGGGAGGGAGACCAAGGCCTGAACCACCAGTGAGATGAAGACTGAGAAACTCAGGAAAGGTACTGGGAGGCACCGCCGAGCCTGCTGGGTCACAGCACGGCTACTCACCAAGAAGCTCCTTTTAAATGGTGTTGTGGAATTTCCCTGCAGAAGCCCCCCCGGAAAGACCTTCTAAACTAAGATGCTAGGTGGGCCATGCCTGGGACCAGCTCCATGGTTCTTGGGTGGCAGCCCGGGGACCTTTCTCCCTGGGACTCTGCTATGCGCTCAAGGGCAGCCACACAAGAACAAGCACAGAGGAGGGGCTCTGGGAGCAGCAACCAGCCTGGGGTCAGCATAAGCATAGCCAGGACTCTCCTGGCTCTGAGCCTCTGCCAGCTCCTCCCACCTCCCCCCACCTCCCAGTGTTCAGGCCGTGAGGCTGGTCTTGTCCCTGGGCTGACCCTTTGGGGACATGCATTAGCGTGAGCATTAGTGGTATCACAGCCCCAGGTGGAGCGCCCTGCCTCTCCTCCTGCGAGGTCCACAAGGGAGGGAGCGAGCCAGCAGGGTGAAACTCCTTGGCCTCAGCCACACAGGGTCCTAGATGACTCAGGGTCCCTTCCTGCAGTGTTCAGGATCTAGGGCACTGAGCTTTGAGTGTAGCGAACACGCAGTTAATGTCATACCCAGGACTTAAATTTCCAAAAGAGAAGTCTCAAGTAGTTATTCAGGAAACAGTCTGCAGGAGAACCTGTGGAGGCAGAAGCGCTGTGTCCGCGGTCTCTCCTCAGCAGTGGAGCAGCAGCAGGTCTGGCTCTCGCTCAGCCTGGGGGGCTTCCAAGCCCTGCGGCGGGCTCCTGTTGAGAGTCCTTCACACGTGAATGCAGAACTCTGATGTGGAATTAGTAGGAACATTTCTGGAGCCACACCCTCCCCACATAGAGCAGCCAGCCGTGTTTTCACTGGAGCCCGAGCAGATCCAGAAGGGGGAGTCCCTGTTGTGCCACTGAGATTTCTCCCGGGGCTGTTTCTCTGCTGTGGGCCCAACTTCTGTGTCCTGTGACGGTCTGGTTAGAGAACCCCTAGAGCTGTGATGCTGGAGGCTAGAGGTGGAAGTGGGCTTCACTGCTCCTGGGGCAGGCCCCGGCGTTGCCCGGGGGGATGCATCTCCATCCTGCAGCGTCTCTGCCTGAAACCGACCTTTAATAAAGTCACGCTGCCTCTGTAAAGCTGGCTGGGCACCATGCCCTCACCTCTCACTGCTGCATGCTATGCAGGGCTCAGACCCACTGCCACAAGGGAATGTAGCTCCGGTCTTCCCAGAGGGTGCATCTGTGTGCCAGGTGACAATGACAGCAGAGCCATCAGGAAGGGCTCACACAGGGCGCTGGGTCTTACACGCCATGCCGTCTGTCCTCTACCAAGAACTTCCCAGCAAGATGCCCGCCGCATGACAGGACACGCAGGAAACCTCCCGCAGTCCCCTACTTCTGGCATATCCTCTTTCCCCACAGTGCTCACCTCCCAGGAGTGTCCACTCACACTCACCATGTGGCCTGTACCCAGCCACGTAACCAGTGCCAAACGTGGACACACTGGGATGAGAGCAGAAGAGAGCTCCATCCGAGCATGAAGCCTGCTCACCTAGGCCCTGGGAGCCTCCCCCCCCCCATTCAGGTCCACCTGTCAGAATCAGAAAATGATTCAAAATGGGGCCTCACAGCCGCAACCCAGGTGTGAGCAGCATCGAGCCTTCTACAGGCTGCACTCGGCAGAGCTGAGGGCCACGGGCTCCCACAGGGGCTCCCCAGGAGCTGCCAGGAACAGAGGCAGAGGGGCACCTGGGCTGCAAGTCATGGTTCTAAAGTCCCCTGCAGCCCGCCCACAGTCGAGTTCCCCTGCTCTGGGCTCGAGAGAGGGCTGGGGATTTGTGGAGGTCTGCTGTCAACCTCTGAAGCTTCGTCACCCCATTACCTCCCACTGTTTCTCCAGAAATTTTCAGAAGACACATATCACACATATGATTTAATTTTAAATTTCTTTTCTCATTTTAACTTATGAAATCATGGCTGTCAGGTTTTGCAGGGTATGTGTGCCGCAGAATTGACTGAATGATTTAAATACAAAATCAAAACAAATTCACGAAGAACACACATTACTCTTAAATCATGAGAAACAGCCTTCAAGAGCCAGTCTTGGCTCCTTTTTCCTGCTGGTTCCATCATTTTTATATATATTTGTACCTGGATTGAACTCAGGGGCACTTGTTCACTGAGCCATATCCCCAGCCCTATTCTGTATTTTTTTGAGAGACAGTTGCTTGGCACTTCACTTTTGCTGAGGCTGGCTTTGAACTCGTGATCCTCCTGCCTCAGCCTCCCTAGCTGCTGGGATTACAGGTGTGGCCATGAGCCCAGCAAAGCCGAGGGTTTTTTACTGGGAAATGTCGACGCTATTTAAATAAAGACCATTATGGTTGCTTTGACTTATGTCTACTGGCGGAACTGTAGGAACAGCATTCCTGATGGCAAGTCGAGTTTTTCAGAGACCTGAGGCCAGGAGGGCCCCCAGAACAAAGCCCTCGCGGTGGGGGCTCTTGTCTTCTGGCTTGACGTCTGCCCAACCTCCAGAGGCAGCCTGGCATAGCTGGCTCTCAGCGGGTATCCTGATGAGGGTCAGTGGGCCCGTCCTCCTGACCAAGAAGACACCAGCCGCCCTGGGTGGGCAGCAAGGTGGCTGCACCCAAGTGCCTTTGCCACCTGGTTCCCAGCAAATGGCGGGTTCCATACCTGCACAAGGTCCACTGAGAATCGAGCAGGACCACCGCCCCGGATGCCACATCCCAGCTGGCGCAAAGCTTCCTGTGTTGGAATTTAAGCCCAGCAAACGTTTTTGGAAGGACACTTGCAGAACCTATGACCTTCTCTTCATCCATAGAGCTACATTTGAAAAGCTATTTTGGGTAGCCCCTGAACATGGGAATGACAGGCTGTGGTGACATTCTCTCCTTGATTGCAGATGACCACAGGGACGTCACTTGGGACTCGGGGTTGTGCCGAGCTGCCCTCCCAGGCCCTTGACGAGGGAGATCTTAAGGAGGTTGTACGGTCACAGCCCGGTAGCAGGCCAGGGCAGGAGACCCCATTTGCCCCTGGAGGCAGAGGAGTGCTGCAGGCCTTACACCCTCCCGGCCTCCGCCAACTTCTGGACCCTGAGCACAGGAGGCACCGGCAGTCACACAGCAGCTGTGCTCATGGGCTGCCCTGGTGGTGGCCACCCCAGAGCCCACCTGGGCAGCACATACTGATAAGGTGCTCCCTGACCCTCATTGCCCTGCCTGGCCCTGAAAGCCCCCACGGCTCCTGCACAAGGGCTGGTGGACTCTAGGGAGGAGGCGGAGGTGGCTGTGTACGGTCCTGAAGGTGCCCCGCGGTCTGCCTCAAGAACGTCATACAGACCACTCCCCAGCCCTGCCCCGACCCCCCAGGCGGAGCCCACCATTTCTAGATGAGCATCAGCTTTTCTTGGTCCAGGGCATTGCTCTTGGGGGCTGATGGGGGCCTTCTGTTGGGGTTTCAGATTTCCTCAGCCAAAAGCCTTTTCCACCATCGTGAAGCAACACACAAACAGCCACCAACCTCGTGCGCCTGTGGCATCAGAGGCTGTTGCCTTTCGACCCCCACATCACATGTCCTTTCTTTCAGGCCACAGTGAATGCCCGGCCCCAGCGCATCCTGGACACCTCCTCTCTGACCCAGTCGGCACCGGCCAGCCCCACCAACAAGGGCATGCACATCCACCAGGTCGGGTAAGTGGCCTGGGGCCAGCTTCTGTGCCAGCTGAGGGTCCAGCGCCCTGCCACTGCTAAGCCCCCCTCTCTCTCACCCCCTCGCTGCCCTGTGTTCTGCCTCCCCTCCCCTCCCTGCTCCCGGGCTCCTCCCTTCCTCCATCTCCCCCACGCCCCACATCTGTCTCACTTGAGCCCTTCCTAGAAGTAGCCCTGCCTCAGGAGCCTTGTTCTGCACATAGCAGGACTTGAGAGAGGAACTCAGCCTGATTTATTGGCCTTCGGGATCTCACCAGGGACCTAGTTCCCCACGTGGGTGGCGGCAGAGTGGCTCTGCCCTGCCACACCAGAGCAGTGTTCACACCCAGAGGCAGCGGGGGTCCTGACTGCCCCGGCGCAAGCAACCTCAGGCTCCTCCCAGCAGGCCTGCTCCGGGCTCAGTCACCCATCCTCTCTGCTGTGCGTGTCCAGCAAGTGCCTGCTCCAGCAGCTGCCCAAAGACGGCAGTCGCCAAGTTAGCAGCATCTGTGGCAGGGAGTCTTGTCGCCGAGTGGTGGCCCTCCATAAAGCTCACCGTCGGCTTTTCTCCCAATGCAGAGGCTCCCCGCCAGCATCCAGCACCAGCAGCTGCAGCCTGACCAATGATGTGGCCAAGCAACCAGTCAGCCGGGACCTGCCTTCAGGCCGCCCGGGCACCACGGGCCCCCCAGGGACGCAGTACACCCCTCACTCCCACCAGTTCCCCCGGACACGGAAGATGTTTGACAGGGGTCCAGATCAGGTGAGAAGGCTGTGCCTCCTGTAGCTCTGACCTCAAGCACCGAGCATCCTGACCGGGTGGAGGGCTTGGCCTCTGGTGGGCAGGGCAGGGCGAAGCCTCGGGTTTGGGTCCTGGCATTCTCGCTGTGCGCCCCTCTGCCCTCAGCCTGGTTTCCCCCATCTTGTCCCCGAGTCCTGGCGACCCCACAGTACAGCACTAGCCGTGAGCTGACCTGCCGTTCCCTCTGTTGGGTGAGCAGCGACGCCTCCTCTCGGGTGGCAGCTGCTCTGGTGTGGTGCTGGGGGCTGTCTGCTTCCCATGAACCTTCAGTTACTCCACACACAGCTCCCTGCTCCTCTTTCCTCAGCGGAAAGGAGATCTGGTGGGTGAGTCCGTGCTTTCCCTCCAGGCTGAGAGCCATGGGAGTGTGGCTGACCCAGGCCTCCTGTCTTGTCCAGGCTGTTTGCCACTTTCTCATCAAGGACAGGAGGACCAAAGAAGGGTGTGGAGGACGTGCTGAGGGCATCTGGCTGCCCCAGGTGCACACAGTGCTGAGCGCCTCTCTGCAGCTGGCCCTCTCATTGTTGTCCAGGGGGCACCAGAGTCCCTGCCTTGCAGGTTGGCCCTGGACCCAGACTTACCTTGTGGTGACCGGCAGTTCTCCGTGTCAGTGCTCAGCCTTCTGGCTGGGCCCTGATGCCAGCTGGGGGCAGAGAGGTGCAGCAGCGTGGTGGCCCCCACCTGACCCATCCTGGGGCTCACCAGAGCCAAAGCCACTGCTCTCCAGGAAGTGGGCACCTCTCACGGCCCCACCCAGGCTCCTCTGTGCCAGGAGGGATGTGAGTGGCCTAAACCCACCCCAGCACCGGGGCGCCAGGGGACTGCTGCAGCCTTCCCCACAGGGCCGCCCTGCACCTGGTGGACAGAGCCAGAGCGCAGGGCTCATAGCGGCCCCTGGCATCAGGGCACAGAGGTCAGCAGCCCAGCCCACCCACACCCAGCTGGGCTCAGCCAGGGGAGCAGCGCTGGCCAGGCACTGAGGAACTGATAAACCATGCGAGGCCCACCTGCCCCTCAACGCCAGCCATGGGAATTGGCCCAGGAGAAGGGCCGTGGCTCTACTGGCCAAACCAGGGGCAGCAGGGCAGATGCCGGTCCTGCTTCTCACCCAGACCCCCAGTTCCTGTCCAGACGGTCAGGGATACCTGGTCACCAGGATGCCCAAGTGAGAGGGAGGCAGAGGGCCCGTCCCTAGCAGTCATGCCCAGCTGTCCATGACCTCTGTCCCTAGCCAGGACCTCCCACAGGCATGTGGGGAGGGAGGGACAGTGAGACTGCTCCTTCCTTTCCCCGCTAACCTCCCCCTTCCTGATGCCCTGAAGACCGCGGATGATGCCGATGATGCCACTGGACACAAGAGCTTCGTCTGTGCTGCCATGCAGACGGGCTTCTGCGACTGGAGCGCCCGCTACTTCGCACAGCCTGTCATGAAGGTGCGTCCCCAGCGCGGGCGGTTCCAGAGCCTGACCTCCACTCTTTCCCAGTGATCCTGGCAGCCAAATCCTTGTCCTGCCCCTGTCCCCTGGCCCAGGGGGGGCCTTCTGCTGCCCCAGCCTTGCTGCTGGCCTCTGTGACTCCTTCGTGCCACATTGGTGGCCTTTGGAGGTGGTGCCCATTGCTGTCACGGTGGGTGCTTGAGCAGCAAGACAGAACAGCCCCAGGAGCAGGCTGTGCTTCCCTCCTGTCCTCTCAGGGAGGAGCAGGCTGCCTTGCCACAGTCCCAGGCCACAGGTGTCACTCCATCCTCATTTGTAAGGCCACACAACTTCCAAGGGCCATGCTTGATGACATTCCACTCTGGGGATGCTAAGACCGCGCTAGCTGGACCAGTACCAGCACGTTCGGGCTTGTTCCTCAGGACCAGCTTTGGAGTCTGATTCAACTCCAGCCATAGCATAGATGTGTCCTGTGTTCACGGTGGCTCTGTGGCTGTTGGTTCAAGCCCCCTTCCCACGCAGGAGGAACAGGGTCTACCAACAGCATGACCTCCAGTGTGACGGTCCCCGTGAGCATAGAGCCCATTCCTGGACTTCTCCCCTTCCTTCCTGTGGCCGTCTGAGAACGAAGGGTGCATCTTGTTCTCTGACCAGCTAGATGCCTGCCTGGCTTCTGCGCCAGCGCTGGGCCCAGCTCCACACTGGTCCCCTCTCACCCCAGTTGACCTGACACATGCCTAAAACACAGTCTCATGGGGCTGGGTTGTGGCTTAGCAGTAGAGCGCTTGCCTAGCACACATGAGGCACTAGGTTCGATCCTCAGCACCACATATAAAAGAAAACAAATAAATCAAAATAAAAAATATTTTTTAAAAACTACAGCCTCACCAATAGCACCTGTGGTGGCAGCAAAGCCCCAGCCCCTGGAGCCCCTTGCTGAGGGAAGCAGGGTACACTATTCCATTTCTAAACGGAGAGTGTAAAATGGCCGAGTCGTTCCAAAAAGAAGCTCCACAGTCAGCATCGGAAGCCCCCGGCAGCCGTTCCCCTCAACCTGTGGCTGGTTTGCTTAGGTGCTACCTTACGAAAATCATCAGAGACGCAGTAGGTCCCTGTACCACTCAGGAATGGAACTGGGATCCACTTAGTGTTCAGTAAGGTTGAATGGCTGAAAAGTACATGTTTGGTGAGCTTTGTAAGTAATGGCATAAGGAAATGCTCATGATAAAATTTGGGGGAAAAAAAGCAGGCCAAAACCTAGCCCTTGCTGTGCATGCGGCACCTGAGTGCGAGCTCCCAGAGGGCCGGTCGGCATGGCCTGGAGGCGCTGAGCTGGTTTCTGCCTCGCACATTCCTGCCTTCTGCAGTTTGTACTGAGCATGAAGCTGCCCTGTGTCCAGGGCGGTCCTAGGGAAACCCACCCTGACTGCAAGTGCAGCCTGTGCTGCAGTGACACACGGGCTGGGGCAGTCTGGCTCAGCGCCTTGGCCGTCAGCACAGGTATGTGCAGCGGGGAAAGCGAGAGGCAGGACAGGAAGGAGAAAGCAGGCACTGGAACTTACAGAGTGAACACCCACGCGAGTCATGAGCAAGCAGGGTAGCCAGTTAGACCCGGCGTGGACAGAGAGCCGTCCTTAGAGCCATGGTGGCACAGTTCAGAAGCCAGCACGCTTACCTGTAGCAGAGGTTGGCTTCCTGAAATGGGCCTGGGGGGGGGTGGCGACTTCTGGAAGGCAGCTGAGGACCTGGAGGCCTGCCCTTATTACTGCACGGTGGTGGTGGATGTGGTGGCCGTGGTGGCCGTGGTAGTGGCCGTGGTGGCCGTGGTGGTGATTTCTGGAAGGCAGTGAGCAGCTCTTCAGGAAGTGCTTGGATGATGCCTCTTCTCCATCATCGACGTAAGATGAAGGAGGAATGGTCTAGGTGCCCAGAGCATGTTTCTCCTGAACTTGGGATAAACTGACGTTTTCCGAAGGGCTGGCTTTTCTCCTGGGCACCAAGGAGCGGGGGCCGCCTCAGCGCGCAGCAGCAGGGCAGGGCAGGTTCCCAGCAGTGAGGGCTGTACAGCGACTGGTCCTGCCAGGAGTGCTTCCCGCAGCAGTGCTGAGCGCTGCTCCCGGGCACCTGAGGCCAGTGTCCACCCTGTGACCGTCACCAGCTGCAGGAGTGTCTGAGTTCCCTCCCACGGGAGGTCAGAGGCTTGGACATTGCAGATGAGAGTAGCTGAGGGGCCCCTTCAGGACTCCTGCTCCACTCAGAGGCAGCAGGCAGTAGTTGTGGAATAAGTAAGCCGCTGTTTTCCTCTGACCCTGCCAGGTATGCGAACACACGCTGTCAGTGGGTGCAGCTTGAAATGACCGCTGTCCAGTCCTGGTTGAGAGCACAGTCACCCTCATTGTCAGTGTGTCCATCACACCTTGGCAACCAAAGTCTTAGGGCTAGGGACCAATGTGGCTTTCCTTCACAAGGATTAGAAACCTTTCTGACTGCACAAGAGGGAGCGGGGCATTTTTTATCTTGTGATTTTTACAGGAATATTTTCTACTTTCTCTGAATGGTAGGCTTTTGGGCATTCTTTTTATTAATTTAATCCATCATCTAGTGGCATGTTTGCGTAATAAAATGCATTAAGAGCTTTTTTTAGTTGCCTGCTTCTTCACAGGTAAACTAAAAATAGGGCTTTTGTGTGTGTGTGTATTTAGCTATTGATGGACCTTTATTTTATTCATTTATTTATACACGGTGCTGAGAATCAAACCCAGTGCCTCACACGTGCTAGGCAAGTGCTTCACCACTGAGCTGCAGCCCCAGCCAAATAAAAATAGTTCTAAGGCCAAGATTGGATCAAGAGGAGTGGGGAACCCAAACCCCAGACTACATCAGACTGCGTACAGAACTGAGCATTCACCAGGGAACAAGATGTGGCCCACGGTGACAGCAGGGTGTCCAGATGACGAGTGGGATGAGGACCCAGGACGTGGCCCCCGTGGCAGCTCCTGCCGGGCTCTCACCACTCGGATCAGTTTCTTACAGGTCTGTGCCACCAGAGGACCTTGTTGTGGCGTGGCTCACCTTCAGCTGAGGGGGCAGCTTTCCTCCCCGCAGCGTGGTCTGTCAAAGCTCGTGCCTACCACAGGACCACAGAGCCCAGTTAAAAACTGTCTGCTCTCTGCTTAGAGAAAAAGATTTATTGAATTTTGTTCTGATTATAAAAGTAATATGACTTTTTTTTTTCTCAGTTGGCAGATTTCAAAGATTGATTCTATCCCAAGGTTGGTTCACAAAGGGGCAGGGCCACAGGTGCCCTGGTGCTGTGGCGATGTGGGCAACGCCGCCTCCACAGCAGCACTTGGCCACGGCTGTCAGAATCGTGAAAGAGCCCCCACGGGGTGCACTCCTGTGATCCCAGTGACGGGGCAAGTTGAGGCCTGCCTGGGCAACCTAGACCCCATCTCACATGTTTTTAAAAGGATTGGTAGTGTATCTCAGTGGTAGAGCACCCTGGGTTCAGTCCCCTGTGCTGCCAAAAAAAAAAAAAAAAAAACAGGAGGAGAGAAAGACTTGCCAGTGGGCATGCTCTCAAAACCAGCAGTCCTGCTCTGAGGACTTAAAACCTCTGAGATACATGTGTACTGACGTCTGCCCAAAGACACTCACCACATTTGGATTTGCGTTGCTTGTAATAGCTGGCTCAGCAGAGACTGAAGAAGAGCCACAGGGTCACCTCAAGCTATTCATGGTAAGAACTCACCAGCTAGGAGTAAAGGACACCCAGCAGCGCTCATCAGGGCACTCTCAGCACAGGGCTAGGTGCTTATTCTCTAAAATCAGGGGCAAGGCCAGGCCATCTTATCCCACCATTTAATAGCCTACCAGAGGTCCTGGACGGTAGGGAGGCATAGAAGGAAACACATGCTTGCAGATAGGAAGGGTAGAAAGAACCCTCTCTGTTCTCAGATGTTATTTGTGTCTAAAAAGTTACAGATAATCTACAAAAGGAGCTGTGGTGAGTTTAGTAAAAGTTTGCAGAATACAGGCATTAGGTATGATCCATGGCATTTCTATAAGAAGTAACTAGTACTGCTTACAAAAAGCTCCAAAACAGTACCATTTGTAAAAGCACCACAAAAACCTAGGTAGAGATTTAAAAGGAAATCCATATGCTAAAATTGATGAACACTGATGAAAGAAATCAGAGAAGACCTAAATAAATGGGGACCATGTACATGGACCTGAAGACGGTGATGTGGAGATGCCAGAACTCCCTCGGCTGATGGTAGACGCAGGCCGTCCCAGTCGACATTCTAATGAAATTTTTAAAAAATTGACAAGCTTATTATGAAATCTGTAGGAAACAGCAAAGAAACTAAAATAACCTTAGAACCTTGAAATTGAAGGAGAATTAGATGCTTCACACTCTGATATCAAGACCCTGTGTAAAGTTGATCAGGACAGCGTGGGACTGGGGCGAAACAGACACATAGATGAACAGGACAGAACCGAGAGGCCAGAAGTAGATCTGCACAGACATGTTCAGTTGACTCTCAAGGAATGTGTGAAAACAGTGCCGTTCAATGAAGTTTTCAGCAAGCAGTGCTATAGTCCCAAGAAAGGGCTTCGCTCCACACTTCACCCCTGCACACCAGCTACACAAAGTGAACACCCCAACTGCAAGACTCCTGACCTTAGAACCTCTAGAAGGAACAAGAGAACCTTCCTGACTTTGCATTAAGATACAGGAGGCATAAGCCACACGGTCTAGTGGCACGTTGAACTGCATCAAAATCAAACACTAGCTTTGAAACATACCATTGAGAAAAGGAAAGACAGGCAGTGACTGAAAACTGCCAAGCATATGTCTGACACAGACTTGCATGGGGTATGCATAAGAACTCTCAGAATCCCACAATTGGGAAAACGCAGCCCAGTTAAAGAATGGTGGCGAAAGACTTGCATGGCCCTTGCCCAGGTGAGACACACAAGTGGCAGATGATCACACGGAGGACCACCGCAGGACTGACCTGCACTCGAGGCAAGATTGGACTAGCCAGGGATGGGAAGCCACTGGCGTGCCCCTTCTTGGCCAACACGGGTGTGTAGGCACTTGGGGGACATTTGGCTGCTTCTCATAAAGTTAGGAGCACACCCCAGCAACCCACAGAGGAACCTAAGAAGTTCATGCAGAAACCTACATGTGGATCTCACAGTGGCCATGTACATTGTCACCAAAGCTAGAAGCAACTCAGACGCGCACCCCCGGCAGACAGAGGAGCCAACACAGCCATGCGAGGGCCACCAGTCAGCAGAGAGTCCCAGAGGGCTGCTGGTACGCACAGCAGCAGGGCCATCACAGGTCCCAATGGAGTGGTCCCTTCACAGGGCTCCCGGAACAGGCACAACAGGGTTTGGAAATCAGGCCAGGGGTTGCCAGGGCCTGGGGCTGAAGGGAGGTCTCGTTAGGGATGCAGGAACTGTCTGTCCTGAGCAGCGGGTGGTTCTAGGATCCTGGCATTTGCAAAACCCACAACTGTCTAGAGAAGGTGCATTGGATCTCTGTGAGCCGCACTCTAGGGGGTAGGCGCTCTCTTCTCTTACGCAAGGGCATACTTAAGGAAAAGCATAGCCAGTGAGGTCAGGGCCCTTGTTGGGTATAGACGTCCTGCGCTCCAGGGGTCCGACAGGCCCCCTCCAGCAGTGCTCCTGGAGGGGGCTCGGGCAGGACGTGGAGTCAGTGGGCACTGCTGCCTGCTACAGTTACAAACACACTGTGTGGCTTCTTGTAAAGGATGGAGGGTTGGAACTGGGTCACGTGCTCCCCCATGTCTGCTGTGTCGACCTGGGGCTCAGCCCCTGGAAAAGCACCAGTGTCCTTCCAGCAGGTTCCTCTCCCCTGAGCTTTACCCGAGCCTCGCCACTCTCCACAGTCCTGTTCCTGTTCTGAATTGACCCCTCACCCCTTGAGCCTTTTTTTTTTTTTTAATATTTTTGGTTGTTGATGAACCTTTGTTTTATTTGCTTATTTATATGTGGTGCTAGGAATCGAACCCAGTGCCTCACACATAGGAGGCAAGCACTCTACCACTGAGCCACAACCCCAGCCCTTGAGCCTTTTTAAATGCAAAGGTCTGAAAATGAGACCCAGCTCCAAGATGTGCAGGTTCTCCTGCCAGGACCCTTTTGTGACATGCCCCCGGTTGCTGCCCCACAGCCTTCTGGGACCCCTCATCTTCCTCAGATCACAAGCCCAAGGGTTTCTATTTGGTTTTCCCATTTTTTGCAACCGGAAAGGAGCTGGCTTCCTGGCTTTCAGCTGTCGCACCTCCGTGGGAGGCTGCGGAACTGTAATTGGTTTCTGTCTGAGAAGAAGCCAGAGGTGCCAAAGTCGGCGGTGTCATGCTCCTAATCACGTGGCACTGTTCCGCCACCCACAGCCCCCAGGAGCTCTGAGGGGCGGGGGACATTGCTCCTCCACTCCTGTTTACCAGAGCGCTTTCTCCCAGAGGGACACAGAGGAGGAGGGACAGCAGGGATTAAGAACCACCACAAAGGACAATCATCTCTTGGCCAGCTTCCTCTTTTCTGTCCTGAAGAGTCCCCAGCAGTTGGTGCCACTGTCCTCAGAGCGCCCTCTGTCGCCTCCCGTCTCTCTGCCCACCCACCGTCACCCTGCCCCTCCCTGCACCTCCTCTGTCCTTTCTTACCCTCCATCTGTGGGCCTGCAGGCTCCCCTCTGAGGGCTCGCCCGGGGGAAGCTGCAGTCTGGGGCCTGGAGACTCTCCATGCCACTGGTTGGAGATGGCCTGGCCACCTCAGACGCACTCCAGGTGCCCCCACCACAGAGAGCTGGTCAGGGGCCTGGAACTCGGTCCCCTCAGGTCCCCGCAGCACCTACTAGACCTCCTTCTCCAGTTTGCTCCTGGAGAAACGAGGGCTGCATCGCGGAGCCGCTCCTCGCCGCCTCTGCACGGGCTTCACTCGTTTTCCAGGTTTTTCCTTGTTATTGCTCTACATATCTGGTCATTTGTTTTTTTTTTTTTTTCCGAATAAGCTCTGGATTGTCATAAAAGCAACCCACTGTTATGAATCCACACCCACCCCTGCCATCCTGGGGCCGTTCCTCGGCCGGCGCGAGCCAGGGGGCCCTGGGAGCCTCTTCCTGTTGCTGGGTTTGGATGGCCTCCTTTTGTTGTTGCTTTTTTTGTTGGGTTTATGTTTTGGATTTTTAAGAAGAAAAAGAAACATGGTGATAAAATGCTGGAGAACAAGCCGCGGGCCGCCTGCCCACACAGGGACGCCAGGCAGAGAGAGCTGCCGCGTGGTCATCGAGAGCCACCCAGCCTCCTGTGTTCTCTGTGTGTGGCTTTCCCACTGCTGGGCCATGCACACAGGGACACAAGCCTGGCCGTCCTGCTCAGTGCCCTTTATCCTCGAACGTCTCCTCAGGAGCAGCTTTTAGAATGACACACATGTGCCCTTGACCCGCATGGCCGTCCTGACTGGCCCTGGCTGCTGTGGGAGGTCCTGCCTCTGCTCCCTGAGCCAGGAGGAAACAGGCTTTGATCTCCTTTACTTAACGCCTGTCTTGGAGGACTTCCCAACTGGATTTCTGGCTAGGAACCAGCGGGTCCACCCTGGGTGTGGGGTGCAGAACACTCCCACACCGCATGGATGGTCTTATGGTCCAAGCCAGCGTGGCCTCTGGCCTGGCGCAGGCTGGGAGGCACTTCCTGGGTCTCAGCTCGCACCCTGCAGCTGTTAGCCATGCCCTCAGCCAGCTTGGCTAGAGGGTCACCCAGCCCAGGCGTGGATGGAGAGCACCCTGCAGGCGTGGCCCTGAGCTGCCTCTTCTGGGAAAGACATCCTTCTCATGTGCACAGTGACCGTTTCCAAGTTGCTGAGTGTAATTGGATGTTTTCTGTCATTGAAGATCCCTGAAGAACACGACCTGGAGAGCCAGATCCGCAAGGAGCGGGAATGGCGGTTTCTGCGGAACACCCGCGTCAGGAAGCAGGCGCAGCAGGTCATCCAGAAGGGTAAGAGCAGCCAGCAGGGCGGGGCATGCGCACAGTTCTCCATGGTGAGCAGAAGGCCCAGGAGGGTGCCCTGTGAGCAGCCCACCTGCCAGACCCATGTGCAGCCTTGTACAGCCCCCACGCCGCTGACACCCAGAGTACCCCTGTGCCCCCCCTTGCAGTTAAGTCCTTCAGCAGGCTTGTGCAGACTGGAGCTGGGAGCAGGGAGGACCTGGCTTGGGGACAGGGGCGCCTCGGGGCGGAGGGGCTATTGGGACTGCACTTTCCATGGGCATGGTCACTCCAGGGGAGACTGTCAGCAAGGCCCTGGCTACTGGCAGCCTTTTTTGGGGAGCATGACCTCTGCACTGTGGTGTTTCCAGAGGGGAGGTACAAGTGCTTCTTAAGCCCTGGGGGTCCGTGTCTCCCTAGCTGACAGGGTGTCCTTTCCTGGGAACAGAAAACAAATACAGGTCTGGCCTCACCCAGTATCTCCACGTGGTCCTTGGAGCAGTCTTCAAGTCCATCCCGAACTGCTTTCAGTCCCATTTGCACCAAACCTCCCAAATTAGCAACAGATGCCAGAAACCACCCCCTTGCTAACCACCTCGTTTGCACCATGGGGTGGAGGCAGTGAGCGACTGAGGACCGCAGGCTGCCGCCACTGTGGAGGACTGGCAGAGGGAGCTCCCAAGAGCAGGTCTGGGCTGCAGGCGGCCCCCCGATGGAGGCAGTGAACAGGAGGCCCCCAGGGCCAGCAGGGATGAGAGCCAGGCAGCCTCAGCCCAGGGCGCAAGCCCACACGGCTTGGGATGCAGAGTTCATGGCCTCCCCCACCCCTGACCTCACAGCCGGGCACTCTTGCCCACAGAGTGGCTGGGCCGGGGACCTCAATCTGCTCATACCAGCAGTTGGTCCCAGCTGCAGAGGTGGTATGTGACTGGCATTTCTGGTTATGAATAACAAAAAGCAAGATTTCTAGACGTAAAAAGAAGAATATCTTTATAAACCACAGTTAGGAATTCTTTTTTCCAGTGTTTGTGACCAAAAAAAAAAAAAAAAAAGATATTTGTCAAAAACACAGGAGAGGGGCTGGTGGTCTGCTGGACACGGCAGCACACACGGCAGGGAGAGCCGTGGACACGGCCCGAGAGCCGCTGAGGTGAGCAGAGTCTCACCCTCTCCAGGCACTGCCAGCTCAGCACTGGGGCGCGCTGTGCCTGTTGTTATTTGAGAGCCACCTGTGTGCTGGGGAAGATGTAAACAGTAAGTAGAAATGCAGTGCCTGTGGCTGAACGCACAGGAGCCAGGAAAGGCGACCCCAAGGCCACCCCGCCTCTGCCTTCGCCAGCTCCGTGTCCTCAGCACTCGGTTCTGTGTTTGCTTTTGGATGTCTCCCTTCGTCTTTCAGTGCCCAAAGCCATGCCCACTATTTTGGCTCTCTCTTACAAAAAGAAAAGGAAACTCCCTGGGTGAGAAGAAGGCATCTCAGGCTACAGCAGCTGGCTCCACTGACACGCGCCCTTCGCCTGGGCAGAGCCCTCCCACCACAGACCACTCTTCTCCTTAGTGCGGCCTCTGTTGCTTGCTGACTTAAGAAAGAAGAGTCAGTGCACACCTGTAATCCCAGCTGCTCGGGAGGCTCAGGCAGGAGGATCAAAGGTTCAAAACCAGCCTGAGCAATTTAGTGAGATCATGTCTCAAAAAATAAAAAAGGCTGGGGATGTGGCTCAGTGGTTAAGCACCCCTAAGTTCAATCTCTGGTGCCAAAAAGAAGGGGAAAAAAAGAAGAGTTGGAAGATGGAGGAATTGGCCGAGCCACTCACTCAGCTGAGCACTGAGCAGTGCCGACATTCTGTGGCTGCAACCCTTGGCACTGTGGTCTCAGGGCCACCTGAACAGCATAGGGCATGGGCAAGGGAAGGAGGCTGCTGTGTAAGACCCACAGCCAAAGTCAGCCCAGCCACCCACAGCAGATCAGCTGTGCCCAGGTGGGGGCTGCCCTCCTGCTGGGCTCCCCCGCTGCTCCACACCAGCATAGCTACACAGAGCCACCGGCTTTTCTCTGTCCACCCTGGAGATATTCTCGCCAGCTAAGGAGGCATATGGTCCCCAAAGCACCCAGGTGCCAGGGCCACACAGGAGTCTGTGGTCAGAGCTGGCCTTGCTGCCTTTCTCCTCAGGGCTGTGCAGAAGAGCCCCGTGCTAGGGACCCGCACCTGGTCCAAGCAAACCCCTGTTATCCAACGGAAGCGTATCTCAGCCCGTCCCAACTGCGTCTCTTGCCTCTTCTTCTGGTTGTTTCTCAGGTGGGCTCTTGCAAAGCCCTAAGCGGGTATTTCCTTGTGCTGGTGTGAGGCCTGGTGAGGAGGAACCCACACCCTCTCTGGCTAGCCTTATGAGTCTGTGTCCTCTGGTCATGGACTCCTGGCTAGCCTCTTTCTGGACTGGAAGACCCCTTGAATATGGTGCAGGTGGTGGCTGCCCCTGTCCCAGGCCTGAGTCTCAGGCCTGAGTCTCTGCAGGTCACAGCCCTGGGGCTTCATTCTGAATCCATACGCCCTTCATAGACCCCTTAGCCACAGATCTGCACTGCCATGAACACTGCTGCCGTCTGGCCTGAGGGCCTTGATGGAGCACTTGCCAGCATCGGCTCTGAGCCAGGACACCCCTGCCCCTGGGATGCTGCCTCCTGGGGTGTGCTCTGGCCCCCTCCCGGGTTCCTGCTTTGCCTTGGTCTCCTTTGTGCCTCCCCGGCCCCCAGACACAAGCATTGACACTGGCCTTTCTAAAACATGTGGGTATTGCTGTCTACAAGCCAGCCCTGGCTCATCCTGCTTCCCCCCCACACCCCGGCAGGCATCACCAGACTGGACGACCAGATATTTCTGAACAGGAATCCTGGTGTCCCCTCCGTGGTCAAGTTCCACCCCTTCACACCATGTATCGCCGTGGCTGACAAGGACAGCATCTGGTAGGCCTCACTCACGGACCCTACCTGGGGACAGCACCAGTGCCCAGCATCCCTGCGTTCTCCCCGCCATCCCCTGCCCACCCACCCGTGCCCCGCTCTAGTCATGTTACTGAAGGTGGCCTCTAGTTCCATGGGCCTCAGGACAGGGACAAGAACCTCCAGACCTGCTCCGTGATAAAGAAGCATGTTGAGAGGCTCCCACAGAAGAGCACCCAGGAGAAGGCGCGGCCCCGAGAGCCGGGCCTCACAGCAGCGAGCCTGGCTTGTGCGGTGCAGGGTACCCGCTGGCGGTGAGGTGGGCAGGGACAGTGTCGTGACGCCTACTGTCCTCACTTGCTTACTCCGCTTTAGTTGTGGTGAAATATAACGTCCAGGCTGCCCACGCTGGACGTTTCCATGGTGCCCCCAGAGCACCCCATCTTCCCAAACTGTAGCAGTCCCATCACACCCAGATACCCGCTCCCTGGCCTGGCCACCCCCACTGTGCCCCAGGTGGGCAACTCTAGGGACTTGTAGAAGTGACTGCACAGCACTGCCCTCTCGTGCCTGGCTCATGTGACACAGCAGTGTCCACGGCAACTTGCCGTGGCATGGCAGGAGCAGGAACTGCCTTGAGCCCTCTTCCACTGGAAGGGGAAGCATTTTCTCCCCCACCCCATCTGGGCCCCCAGCTGGCTCCGCACTGCAGTGGACGGGGGTGGACGTGTAGCCCCATGTTCCTGTCATCTCTCCGTCCCTGGATGGGCCCAAAGGAGGAGGGGCTGACCTTCTGTGTCCAGCGGTGCTCAGGGCTCCAGCTTCTCCTCACTCCCCTCGTTACTTTGGCTCTTGGTGGCAGCCGTCCCATGGGCGTGAGTGACCGGTGTCTTGCTGTGACTCTGTTTGCATTCCCCTGATGGTCGGTCTCATTCCTCTTATCCCCTCAAGTTTTTGGGACTGGGAGAAAGGAGAAAAGCTGGATTACTTCCACAATGGGAACCCTCGCTACACCAGGGTCACTGCCATGGAGTACCTGAACGGCCAGGACTGCTCCCTTCTCCTGACAGCCACAGGTGAGTGGCCTGGCTGCATGCACCTGAGCCGCGCAGAGCAAGGGGGCCATGAGACACGCTGTTCAGTTTGTCACTCAGACCAAGGAGGCTCGGAGGCTGGGGCACTCGTGGTGGAGCTGCTTCCCTCACATGAAGGGCCCTGGGTTCCAAAGCAGCCCCACAAAAAAGTAAAAATGAAGTTTAAAAGTGGGGGTGTTTGTCAGGTGCGGAGGCGCACTCCTGTAATCCCAGCAGCTTGGGAGGCTGAGACTTGAGGATCGCGAGTTCAAAGGCAGCCTCAGCAAGGACGAAGCCCTAAGCAACTCAGTAAGATCCTGTCTCTAGGGGCTGAGGTTGTGGCCCAGTGGTAGAGCACTTGCCTCGCACGTGCTGGGCCCTGGGTTCAATCCGCAGCTCCACATAAGAATAAATAAACAAAATAAAGGTATTGGTCCGTCTTCAACTAAAATAAATATCTAAAAAAAAAAAAAAAAGACGCTGTCTCTAAATAAAATACAAAATAGGCCTGGAGATGTGGCTCAGTGGTCGAGTGCCCCTGAGTTCAATCCCTGTTACCAAAGAAAAAAATTTTTAAAAATGGGGGTGTTTATAAAAGGGTATGGTCCCAGGGCAGGAGCAGAGATGGCAGCGTTGGCAGGACTCCTGGACAGTGACCTCTCGCCTTGGGTCTCTGGCCCTTCCATGTTTCCGGGAAACATCCCACCACCAGCCTCTGTCCCCTTGGCCTTCCTGGGAGACACAGTGGGCAGCAGCTCACTGCCTGGCTATGATGGCCCAGGGCTGCATTCCCCCTTCCTTTGCAAGTTGGGCTTCTCTGGAAGGGTACCCATCAGGTAGCGGTGGCCGTGGATCTCACACTGGAGATTTTCTTCGTTTTTATTTTGGCCTGAAACATCATCATCCCACTCTTACTATAGAGCAGTAGTTCTCCAAGCCAGTCACCCTAGGCTGGTGCCATTTCTTTTTTTTTTAATATTTATTTTTTAGGTATAGTTGGACACATGCCTTTATTTTATTTATTTATGTTATGTGCTGCTGAGGATCAACCCAGGGCCTCACACGTGCTAGGCAAACGCTGTACTGCTGAGCCACAACCCCAGTCCCCTGGCTGTCATTTCTTTTGGCACTTTAAATTTGACTCCATGGGGGCTAGGGTTAGAGCTCAGTGGTAGCGTGCTTACCTAGCACGTCTGAGGCACTGGGTTTGATCCCCAGCACCACAAAAATACATAAATAAGTAAAATGAAAGTATTGTGTCCATCTACAACTAAAAAAAACATTAAAAGAAAATTTTGATTCCATGATGCCTTCTTGCTAACGAGAAGCCAGGGTCAAGCTGTGTGGGTAGGAAGGTGTCAGTAGCGGAGGGAGGAGACCAGCATCTAGGCTCACCTGCCCTGGGCCGCTCCGCCCTGTCTGGTCCTGGTCCCGGACCTGAGCATCTGAGCTCCCGAGGCTGCTGCTTGTCAGTGACATCTATTTTGAAGTGTTTGTGGGTTCCCTGTGACTGACCTGACCATGAGGAAATGTCCCTTAGCAGCTGCTCCTCCAAGAAGAGCCATCTCAGCCTGGTAGAAGGAAGCCCATGTCCAAAGCCAGTCCTTCCCTGTAGGCGTCGGCACAGTGGGCAGGGCCCAGCAAGGCCCAGCCGAGGGGCAGCACAATTCAGACATGAGCATCTCTTATCACCAAAGGCAAGAAGGCTGGATGGGCTCCTGAAGAGTGGGCCCCTATGGGGAGCCACAGAGCAGGGCACTCACTGCAAGGTGGCCTTAGAGAGCCAGGCACACAGGTGGAGGAGGCCAACCTTCAGGACTGAGGCCAAAGAGTGGGTCCTGGGGAGGGAGGCTCACCACACACAGCTGACCCCCTGCCTGTCTGCTGGAGGATGCTGAGGGCACCTGCAAGGCAGAGGGCCTCCTGTGTCTGTGTGAGAGCCCCGTGGGCCACCCTCCCTTCCAGCTTCAGGCTGGTTTGTGTGCAGAGCACCGAGGCAGGTGGGGACAAGGTGCAGGCCTAAAGGTTTTGGACAGAATGGGTCTGCACAAGATGAGCAACTGAAGTACTCAAGGGGAAGAACAGAGAAGGTGAGGCCCGCCCGTCTCCCATCTTCCACCAAGCCCTCCTTCCCACCCCGGGGACAAGCTGGAGGCCACAGAGCTCCCCTGCAGGGATCCCAAGCCGGCTCCAGAGAAGCTCTGTGGCCTCTAGGTGCCCAGAGACCACAGGTCCCATTGCCCTGCTGCCAGCTTCCCCGGTTGCCCTTCAGGAAGTGAGCACAGAGTCCCACACTGCGAGAGCATGGGAATAGGTGTCCAGAGCGCCTGGCTGCCCTGTGCAGGGCCCACTGTTGGGCATGGTGGAGCATGATGTCCAGGACAGGGATCTGACCCCCATGTGGGGTGCAGGCGAGGCCAGCACAGGGCAGAGGATCATGTCCCCCTCTCTCCTTCTCAGATGACGGCGCCATCAGGGTGTGGAAGAACTTTGCTGACTTGGAGAAGAACCCAGAGATGGTGACTGCATGGCAGGGGCTCTCAGACATGCTGCCCACCACACGAGGTGGGTCTGGGCTCTTCGGGGAGGAAGTCCAGAGCTGCCAGGGTCATTGTTCCAAGGCCTCTGGACCAGCTCCCTACCAGCCACCCATTCACATCAGAGTCCCCAGTTTATTAGCAGGTGGCCTCCCCTGATAGCCAGGAGGCTTACAGGCCCAGGGTTCTGAGTGCCTTTGAGTCTTGGGTATGGCCCTGAGCTCTGGTCACACCTGTCCTGGTGTGAAGCTGAATGTGGCTTGGAAACACATTGTGGTTAACTGGCCCTGAGCAGCAAATGTCACATGTTCCTGAGGACCAGTGTGGTGGGCTGCCCAGGCTGGTGAGATCGGCAGCCACCAAAGCAGCTCTGGGCGTGGCTTTGCACCATCAAGCAGTTTGGGAGGACCACCAGGTCAGACTGTCCAGGCCTGAGTTTCCAGAGCCCTCTGTGCATCTGGGAATGGCCACCCGTGAGCACAGCCCTCTGACCCTGGTGACACCAGGTGAGGTGACTGTGGCCCACCACTGGCTGCTCCTCCTCCTGCCTGTGATTTCGGCATCCCCATCCGAGTCCTCTTCCCAGCCCCTGTCTGTGTGGGGCCTCTCCTGGTTCTCTCAGTTCTGTCCCTGCCCTTCCCTCCTGCAGAGAACACCAAAATGAGCCCCTTCTCTCTGGACCTTGCTCTTGAGACAAATTATAAGCAAGTAGAACCTCACTCCTCCCGCAGCCAGTGTGTTTCTGGGTTGTCGGCTGCAGAATCTAGGTTCACAGGGAGACCTGCCTTCCAGAGCTCTCTGTCCCAGCCCATCTTTAATGTGGAGTCACAGCTGCCTGTCCTCGGGCCACAGGGCCTACAGGGTGTTGGAGGGATGTGCCAGGGAAACTTCTGGACTCACATCTTAGTGTTTTGTAAGAATTCTTATATTAAAAGTTCAAGATAAAGGGAAGATGAGTGAGAAAACTCAAGATGGTTGAGAAAACTCAACCTTGACCTCTGTAAAAGTTTTATACGGAGACTCAGTGTCCGATCTCCCCAGAGAAAACTAAACTAAACCACAGGGCTGGGGCAGGTGTCAGGGAAAGAGCAACACAACTACCGTCTCTGAAACCCTAAAGAAAGACCAGAGGCCCTCCTCTGTGTGGGGCCGGGGGTGTCCTCACTACATTGTCCCAGTGGTTGGTTAGACCCTCCCACACACGTGAGAAGCTGTGCCACAGGACAGCAGTGGTCTCTGTGAAGACACAGGCAGAACCAGACCATCCTCCACACCCTGTCAGTCAGGGAGGGCCCCGTTCCCAGGGTGGAGCGTGAGGCTGCCAGGGCGAGACTGTCCCGCCACCTTGGCCCTGAGAGAAGTGCGATGGTCCAGCTTTGGCCTGTGAACGTTGACCTGAGCCTTTGGTCAGTGGTGACTATTCATTAACTGGAGCAACCAAGGAGGTATACAGAGCAGCAGCCCCAAGGCTGGGGCAGGTGGCCATGCAGAGGCACAAGCCAGAGCCAGAGCTCCCTAAGTCACAGACGTCAGTTCTGGGCTGGCCACAAAGCTGGGCGCCTAGCCACTGGCTGGCAGGCACCAAATCTACAGCTGTGCTCCAGGGCAGCGCAGGGCGAGGCTTGGCTCTCCACTACCAGGCCTGGGATGCGGGTGGCTGGTCTGACTTCCACGCTCTCTGCTCTGTCCTGCCTTGTCTCCCTGTTTTAAGGAAAGAATTAGCTCTTTGGTCAGGCTATGTATCAGGACACACATCCGAGGCCTGTGTCCAGGATTCGTCAAGCAGGGATCGGACCTCTGCCTTCTGGGGAGTGCAGTGTCTCCCAGTCCAGTCAGTACCCAGGGTGAGCAGGACACAAGCACACTTTGAACTGGCGCATGGTGCCCCCATGGCTCCTGCTCAGCGAGCTACACACACCTGGGCACAGCAGCCTCCCCTCCAGAATCCCTTCCTCTGCTCCACCAAGACTTCCACGCTGCAGGCTTGGCTGCCCAGGACCTAGGGCTTGCTTCCCTCTGTAGGACAGATGGACAGACATCAGCACTGTCCTGGAGGACTTCCACATCTCTACCCAGCTGGGTCTCTCAAGCTGCAAACTGGCTGTCCAGGTGTACCTAGACGTGGGGCTCTGGCCTTGCACAAGGTGCCATCAAGCCCAGCTGCCCCCACCCCATGCTATGTGGTTGGTACCTTGTCACATGACTTCCACGTGGGGACAGGCATGCCCTTCCTCCAGGGACGTCCAGGCCCAGCAGTGGTGTGGCTCTCCTACCTGTGTTCCCCTTTTCTACGGAGGCTGTTTGAAGAAGAGAGGACAGTGGCCAGAGGGTGGGCCCAGGCTGCACGAGGCCACGGCGCCTTGGTTGGAAGCAGGCGGTAGGAGCAGCTGGAAGGCCCAGGGCACAGGAGGATGAGGTGGTGGCACCACAGGACAGCCGGGACACAGACTGAGCTGCGTCCCGGGAGAAGTCTCTGGTCCAGAGAGGGTGACTCATGTGCCCCGGGTTCCCTGCTTCTCTCAGCATTCACCAGGTGCCAGTCCCCACAGACCCTCATCCTGGACCTTAGCCTGCCTGGTGCCCAGGCGGCCGACCACACCGGCCAGACTGCATGGACACTTCCTCTTCAGTTTCCCTCCCTTTTGTTATGAGGCGACCACAGCTGGAGAAACTATGTGGTGCAGAGCACGTGGCCCCACAGCTCCCCTCCGGGGCTGCTTACTGCGCGAGAGGACACACTTAGGTGTGGCTTGAGATGTGGTTTCCACGAGGGAATAGCTAATATGACTGTCGGTGGAGTGCCACACAGACGTCTGAATGGCAGCTGTCTCTCTGGACTGGGTCGGAAGACCCTCAGGCCATCAGAGGGAAGAGCAAGTGCGGGAGGTCGGACTCCCGCGCAGCACTATGCTGCTCCGTGTGGAGGAGGCAGGTTTTGCAGCCCAGGGGCCGGCGCACACGTGGCCGCAGTGTGACTCCTGGGGCAGGCGCGCATCCGGCACTTGGGTGCCACACACACGAGGCCCTGGGCCCCCCCAGCCCCACCCCACCCCCAAAACAAACTGCTGGGGACTGTTTGATCTGGGTGGTGGGTTATAAGGGTTTATTTCCACCACGTTCCTTCGTGTATGCTTAAAACCTTTATAATTACACAGTTAAAGTCGTGTGGGGCTGGGGACGTAGGTCAGCAGTGGGGCACTCACCTGGCATGTGGAAGGCCCTGGATTCCATGCCCGGCACCACACACACAAAATATTTTTGTATTAAGTAGAAACTGTGATGCGCGTGTGTAACTCCCTGTCCAGTTCCAGACGGAAAAGGACACCCTCATTTCTTTCCTTTCTCTTTTTAACCGGGGCCTCTCTGCATTGCCCAGGCCAGTCTTGAACTTGGTGCTCCCACCTCAGCCTCCCAAGTGGCTGGGCCCCAGTACTCTTCCCTCTCGCAGATGCCTCAGTGTGGCAGGGTTCCAGGGCAGGCTGCCACCACCGCAGCAGCCTGAGCTCCTTGCCCTGGGAGCCCCAGCCTGGGTTCAGGAGGAGGTGGGGACCTGCCCAATGGTGGGAGGGTTGGCAGTGCTCCTTGGAGCCGCTGACTGAGTGGCTGCCTGGAGTAGCCCCAGGGACTGACCCCGTGTCCCACTTGCCTCTCCAGGAGCTGGGATGGTGGTGGACTGGGAGCAAGAAACTGGCCTCCTCATGAGCTCAGGGGATGTGCGGATTGTCCGGATCTGGGACACTGACCGTGAAACGAAGGTGCAGGTAACCATGGTGGGCCCCACAAGCACCTGGTCCCTGTGCAGCCCCTTCCCCCAGGCTCTCCATGCTCCCCCTGCACAGAACAGACCCTTGTTCAAATAACCCAGACCCAGATCTCCAGAGCAAGCTCAGTCTGTGCCTGTCTCAGCCCTCCAGGGAAGCAGATGGGCAAGATGGCGCCTGCTGCTGGGCGAGAACAGACTCCCAGCCTCGGAGCTGATCACCACCTTGGCTGCACATTAATCATGGCATCTGACCCTGCGCTGCAGCATAATTAAGTCTAAGCTAATCCTGATTATTTTTAAATATTGTCTTATCTGGCAGATTAGGGAGTATCAGAAATCAGCGGGGTGAAATATTTTAAATTAGAAGATTAACTATTCGTGTGCTTTTCAGAGCTTTTTTTTTTTTTTTTTGAGAGTGAACCCGGGGCTTCTCAAGTGCTGAGCATGCGCTCTGCCACCAAGCCACAGCCCCACCGCTTAAAGCATCTTTTCTTTTTAGTTTTAATAAAGAAACGGATCTGCGCTGGTTTTGCCTAAGACACCTGTGAAAGGGCCATACAGGCCACCTGCTAAAATCCAGCTGTGCCTGCCGCTTTAGGAGCAGAGGCAAGATCACAGCTACCTCAGGGATGCACCTGAGGGTTCTAGTCCAGGACACCCTTCTCTAGAGTCCCTGGGGAGGCACAGGGCAGAGACCTCCCCACCCTCTCCTGTCCTCCCTACCGATGGAGAGACGTTGGCCCCTTGGTGGCAGGAAGGCTGCTTGCTCCACATTGCTACAGAACTGAGCCAGGAAGGAGGAGTGACAGGAGCTGGACATGAGGTTGGACCTCACCACTGTTAGGCACTGTGGTGACGCCCGGGAGAGCTGCAGCCTGAGGTCACTTCCTCTCACAATTACTGTGCTTGGCCTCCTGCTGTCCTGGGCCCAGATCCCATGATGGCACCAAACAACTTTCATTGTGCTCCTGCTGGGGAGCTTGACAGGTGCCCACTCCTCAAGGGCAAAGCATGGAGACCCTAATGCTCAGATCCATCTCCCTGTGGAGTGTAAGGGCCTCCAGAGCCAGTGTGTCCCTGGCCACCCACCTCCTCCCCCACTCTCAGCTGCCTTCGCCCAGAGCTGTGGTCCTGGTGCCTTCCTGGGTATTTTGTTGCCTCGAGGTGCAGGGAGAAGTGGGGGGGGCTCTTACAAAGTCCTGCACCTCACACAGAGTCCACATGTGCAGATTTCCCACAGCGTCCCCACTGGGGTTGGAAAGCACGTGTCCGTCCGCGCCCCCACAGGCCCATCTGCTGCCTGCGGCTCCCCCTGCCGGCGTTCACCAGTCTTCCTGCTGTGTGCAGCCACCAGGGGAAGCAGGGTCCACGCTTCCGCTCTTCCCTCGACTGATCAGGAGTCCTCAGGGGCAGCTAATAGGAGTTCTCCTTGCCAAAGTGTACTTTGTCTCTCTTCAGGAAAGGGGGAGATGGTGTTGGAAAGTTTAATTGGCCAATAGCCAGGTGGCCCTGGGTGCCTCCAGGATGCTGCCGGAGCTCAGCCTGCCCTGGCCGGTGCACAGGTGCAGGGCAGGTGTTCAGGCAGATCTGGCTGCACCGAGTCCCATGTGCCCCTGCCCTTCCCTCCCATCTGAGCTCCTCAGCCTGCGATGGCCTCTTGCAGGTGGAGGCAAAGGCCGCAGCCCACAGGGAGGGAGGTGAGGCCCATGTGGGCTTGGGGTAGCGGTGCCCCATCTCAGCCCTCTCTGTCTGGGCCAGGACATCCCCACGGGCGCCGACAGCTGCGTGACAAGTCTGTCCTGCGACTCCCACCGCTCGCTCATTGTGGCTGGCCTTGGCGACGGTTCCATCCGTGTCTACGACAGGAGGATGGCGCTCAGCGAATGGTAGCTCAGCCCCACCCCCTTGCCTGCGGCCCCTGCCCCTCCACACAACAGCAGTCACCTCACTGCCCACTGAGGAGTCCCAGCTGCTCAGTGGGACATAATGCTTTCCCCAGGAGCCCACAGCAGGTTTCCAGCCAGGCATGTTCCACGCAGGCCAGTCCCCGTGGCCGTGGAAGTGGGTGGACGGCCTTGGGCCTGCTGGAGGTTGTGCCTGGAGAGAACGGCAGTGGGGGGGGGGTCCTGGCAAGGCCCCACCATCTCAGCCTCCATCTCACATGGGTTGTGAGCAGGAGCGTCAGGGAGTCAGGGAGCACGTGTGGGCCCAGCATGGGCTGACCAGGTGTCACTGCTGTTCTGGGTGCTGCCACTCAGCAGGTGACAGGGGGCTGAGGCTTAAGGCCCTCTACAGGAGGTGCAGAGCATCCACGGCTGGGCCGGGCGTCCCCGTGGTCCTGTTCCTGGTGTCTCGCATGCACCCACTGCTTTCTGGGAAGTAGGCTTGGTGCCAACAGGGACAGTCCAGGAGGCACAGCAGTGGCCACCAGAGATGAAATATCCTCATGGCCAGGACAGTGGGACAGGATTGAGATGGGTGTTGACTCAGGCACCCAGGGGGAAGCCAGGGCACCACAGGCTCTCATGTTCCCTGGGGGGAGGTCCCTGCCAGAATGGGCAACCTGTCCCCAGAGGCACCACTGTGGGCAGCTGGTAGACTGCTCCCAGGGTGCAGGTCAACAGCAGGAGTCCACTGGAGCCAGCTGAATCTTGCACTTCAGAGTGGATCTCATGGACGTCCGTTGTCTCCAGACCTTTAGTTAAGCCATCTTTGTCCCCTCAAAAGGCACTGACCTTGGGAGTTGGCTCCACAGAGGGCCAGAGGATCCCAGGAAGCCCCCAGCCCCAGACAGGGCCCCCTCAGTACCCAGCAAAAGGCAGCCTTGCTCCCTCAGGCCTGGTGATTGGGAGAGAAGTCAGCGCCATCTTCACCTCCCCCAGTTCCCCGGGCATTGGCTGTGTCAGGCCGCTTCCGTGCCGACCTCGCCCTCAGAACGCACCTAAGCCGGGTTTGTGGTGGTCCCTCCTCGCCCCAAGCCCAGCACCCTCGACCCCTCAGCTGGGAGTGGGGACACAGGCTCTGGCCCTCCAGGTGTTGGCCCTACCAGTTCAGCCCTACCCAGTCCCCCAGCACCCTCCCTCCTCTCTCCCTTCCCTGCATCCGCCTCACAGCAGTGTCCCTTCCTGGCCTTACCCTGCAGCCCCTCCTGCCAGGCCCCTCGGCCCTCCCCAGGCATTTGAGAATGTTGCTGTTTACATCTTGCATAGGGTCAGTCTCCCCCCAAGATGGGGCAGTGGCTCCCGGGTGTAAGGATGGCTCAGAGAGCTCTCTAGACTGTGGCAGGAGGCAGCAGGAGAGGAGAGGCGTGCTTCCACTTCCCAAGCTGCAGGGCAGCAGTGGGCAGCCCACAGGCCCTAGCCGCTGGTCCCCAAGCTCCAGCAGGCAGGGACACAGGGGTCTTGGAAAGCTGGGCTGAGTGGGGAACCCCAAGCAGGCCTGACCCTGCTGCTTCTGAGGCCTAGGGGTGGAGACCAGCTGGTACCCTCCCTGTGGGTAGTATGTGAGGGGTCCTGAGAGCTCCTGCCAGGCATTGCAGGCCCCTGGGAGCCCTGGTCCATACAGCCAGCAGCTCCCACCTGGGCTCCTGGTCATTAACCCCAGAGGGCCCCTGGACAGCTTTAGGGCTTTTAAGGCTGGGGTTCACACTCCCGATGCGCCTATTAACACAGATGGGCAACATTAGTGACCAGTGATGGGGCCTGGGAGTGTGACACAGCGTGGTGTCAGTGTGGGCCTGAGAGTGGCCCAGGGCCAAAAGCCAGCCCAAGGAGGGCACAGTAGGTGCCCACTAGAGTAGGACTCAGGAAAAGGCTATGTCCCCGCATGGGCAGGGCTACTTGGGGCCCCGCAGCAGAGGCAGCTCAACACTCTCCACAAATGCTTCCTTTTTCTTGACTCAAGGCCACATATGTGGCCTCCTGTTGTGGAGCCAGCACGGCTGTCCGCCCAGAGCCCTGAGTGGCCTGGGAGAGGAGCTGAGCCTGGCCCTGCGCAGCACTGCCTGACCACGCCTTCCTCCTCGCAGCCGCGTCATGACCTACCGGGAGCACACAGCCTGGGTGGTGAAGGCCCACCTGCAGAAGCACCCCGAGGGCCACATCGTGAGCGTGAGGTAACGTGGGATAGTCATGAGACGTCCTGCTGTTAAAACATTATTTTTCCTCCGTTTAAAGACGTCCTTGGTGTTTAAACAGGGATGCTGGCATTTCAGGGCAGAAATTGACTCCGGCACTGGGACTGGCCAGGAAGGTCAGGGTGCAGAGCCAGAGGGTGGTCAGACACCTGCCAAACAGAAAGGAGCCCTGGGGGGCATGGCCCCCTTCCTCCCCACAGGCAGCAGGGCCACATGCTGTTGCAGGCACGTGGCCAGCAGGACTGCCGCTGCCCGCTGCCACGCATCATTGTCTGTGCATAAATTCAGTTCTGCTGTTCGGTAAATACTGTGCTGAGAGCAGCGAATATTTATTTGCCCGTTAAAGGGACACCAGAGTGTGATTTACTGTCACAAAGCCTCCATTCTTTCAAAGAGATGCCCTCTCTTCCTTGTTTGTGATATAAAGACAAAACCCTGCTCTTGGGAGGGACACCTGCAGAGGTGGAAGGCAGGGCCCTCCTTGCAGGCAGTGTGACTCCACCCAGCTCCATCTCCCACCACCCTGTTCCCCAGTGGCCCAAAATCTGATCTTGGTGACCAGTAGCTCACTCCTTTGCACCTTGACTTACAGCCATTCCCATCCCCCATGGGTGTCCTGCTTTGCAGCAGGCTCAGCAGTGGCCCTCGGCATCACATGCGACCCTTCTCTGCTCTGGGACAGCTTAGTGAGGGCCTGGCCGCTGGGCCCAGCACCAGAGCACAGCACGCCCCGGCAGCTTTGGCTTCCAGTAGCGGGTGCAAGTGGGTGTCAGACTGCACATGTCCAGGGCCATCATCCTCCAGCCAGGGCACAAGCAGGGCATCCCCAGGCCTGGCCCGCAGGCCTCACTGCGGCCCTCTCTTGCAGTGTCAATGGAGATGTGCGCTTCTTTGATCCCCGGATGCCTGAGTCTGTGAATGTGCTACAGATTGTGAAGGGGCTGACGTCCCTGGACATCCACCCCCAGGCAAACCTCATCGCATGGTAGGTGCTGCCTCTCCCGCAGCCCCCTCTCCACCATGCCACCTTTCCCCAGCCCTGCCACGTGCCTTTTGGAGAAAGATGGGGTGGAAGATTAAAGTACCATCGTGAACTGAGCACAGACCTCTTCCCTGCCGCATCTCTCCCAGAACACTCTTGAGGGGTCTCCAGGGATGGAGGCCTGCATCCTCACTTGAGGGCATCCAGACAAGTTGCCATTCTCTGCCTGGGGACCCTGGGCCAACTTCCTGGCCTGTCCCCACCACCACACCAGCCCCATCCCTAGCTGGCCTGTCCCTAAGCCATTCTTCTGGGGGGCCGTTCTGTCTCCCAGCCCAAAGGAGAGGGACATAACTGCTGAACCTCTCTCCTCCTCCTGCTGCAGCGGCTCCATGAACCAGTTCACCGCCATCTACAACGGAAACGGCGAACTCATCAACAACATCAAGTACTACGACGGGTTCATGGGCCAGCGAGTCGGGGCCATCAGCTGCCTGGCCTTCCACCCACACTGGGTCTGTGCCCTCACACCAGGGTGGGGCAGTGGGGGTAGGGGACAGGGCCACCTGAGTGACCCACAAGCCTTGGGCCTTCCCTTCCTAGTCCCCAGAACACATGAGGAGCAGAGGGCCAGCAGCAGTGTCCTCTGGTCCCTGTACACATGCCGTCAGGGGAACCTCCAGCAGAAAGCTTCAGGCATGCTCCTCTGTGTGATTCAGGCCTGTCCACTCACTCTGCCCCTGGGCCGTAGGCGGTCGTGTTTTCAAGTTAGGACCTGCCAGCCTGCTCCTTGCAGGGCAGGGTTCCACTGGAGCCTGCCTACAGCTCTGCCCAAGTGCCAGCAGGGCCCTGTGGGTAATGCACGCTCTGCCTGTGCTTGGCGTACGGGCAACGCCCCATCCTGCCAACACCTGGCAGTTCACAGGCCGCCTTCCCGAGCCCTCTCAGTGCAGAGGTAGGCTGCGGGAATGACCTTGCCGGCTGCAGCCTGTGGCCCCTACTCTCGCCCCTACTCATGTCTGCTCTCTCGCCCCACAGCCCCACCTGGCCGTGGGAAGCAACGATTACTACATCTCCGTGTACTCGGTGGAGAAGCGCGTCAGATAGTGGCACCGGGCTCCTGCTGCGGCCACCCCACACACAGTGAACCCCAGGCTCGCCGCAGACGCCGGCTCCTGACCCAGCTGCTGCCCTCGGAGGAAGGGCCACGCGCTTTCTTTTTTCTCTTCGCTGTAATGTCTAGAAGGTCCAGGGAAGGGGAGGGCTTTGTTTTGTCATCACTTCTCGCAGAGAACCAGCGCCCAGGCTCCGAGACTCCCGACACACAGCTGTGCACCGCGGCCCCTTCCTGGCCTCTTTTCCTTCTGAGGTTTTTTTTAAGGGAACAGACTTGTTTTATTTTCCCTGTGATCAGAGCATTAGCTACAGAAACGACAGAGCCCTGACAGAGAAGCAGCACTGGGGCTCCCGTGGGCCCCAGAATGGCCCCCACCAGCCTGGCCTGGCCCCACTGTCCTCTCAAGGCCTGAGCCTGGAGCCGCTGGGAACAGGCTGGAGGAGGCTGGAGGTGTCAGAAAACAGGGAGGGAGACCCCTGCAGCCAGCAGTGAGGAGGAAGCAGCCCCGAGCTGGCCCTCCAGGGCTGCTCAGCTGCAGGCCTCCCTGTCAAGGGGGGTCGTGGTACGAAGAGGGGGGCTCGCCAGCCTCACCCCACCCCCCGTGCAGCCAGGCCCTTGGACTCTGGTTTGGGTCCTTCTCGCAGGAAGGCATTCGCAGGAGAGGGCCCATTGGCTCTGCTGCTCTAGACACAATGAGGTCCTCACAAATCAGCCACCGTCCCAAACTGCAGGCTCATCCCTGAAGTGCTGCTCTAGTGACCATGGCCAGGACCTCCATGTCCCTGCTTGGGGTGCATGTGTGCGTGGGTGCTATGGCCTCCCTGCCATGCACACACCTCACACAGGTGCTGAGGTGCACGGAGCCCCAGGGGTTGTGGGTAGCAATAGCCGGTCTTCAGCTCTTTGCCCTACGCTGGTGTGAGCAAGGCTTGCATCTTGCAGTCCGTGATGCAGAAGCATTCTGGAGGCCTAGCCTGGCCTGCCCGGTGTGCGTGTGTTTGTGTGTGTGTGTGTGTGTGTGTGTGTGTGTATGCGCGCGCGTGCATGTGCAGTTCCAGAGGGGCCTTGTGGACGGCTGGACCATGGGAGGGAGCTCGGAATTGCTGCTGATTGCACACACGTGGCACAACCACAATGATGGCGTTTGGAAAGCGTTTCCATTTTCCTTGGGAATCAGGATCTTTCAGAGATGAGGAATGAGAGGGCTTAATTGATTCTGCTGATCAGAGACCAATAATAGTGGGGTCTGAGTGAGTCGGGACAGGAAGGCCAGGCCCCTCATGTGGGGGCCGATAGCTCTGTTTTGGCCAAGACTGTCTTCCAGGTGGATGGAGTCCTGAGGGCAGCCCTAAGCCAACCCCAGAGCCAGACGGGTGGACAAGGCAGGATGGAGGAGGAGGAGACCCTTCTGCTGCCCCCAGGAGGTTCCAGGGTGAAGGCCCTTCCCTCGCCTGGGAGCACAAGCAGCCTGGAGTCAGGAAGGCCCTAGAAAGTCCTGACTCCCCCACAAGTTCTACCCTTTCCCCTGCACCCCCTAAGCTCTGTGGGGATCTCCTGTGGGTGAAACCCTGGAACCTTCCGGAAACTGAGCTTCACCCACAGAGCTGCTGACCTCCCGTAGCTGAGGTTCAGCTCGATTGCAACCTAACTTGTATTTCTGTTACTTTTGAGGCAAAACCGCCACTGGCAAAGTGCAGATGGCTCTGGAGGGGCCAGGCCCTCCCCTCCCTGGTCCCACTGGAGCCCTGCTCATGCTGTGCATCCACTAGCACCGCGTGGGCGGGGCCTTCCCAGGCTGATGCGAAAACTCAATCATGAAGTTAACAGGCTCGAGAGAGCACCGCCTAGAGTTCCTTTATCTCTATTTATTTTACCAAAATGAGAATTGAAAAAGACTTTGACAAAACATGGAATCGTAATGTGAAGCTAAGAGCAATGACAAATAATAAACTTAATAAAAATTAAAGACGTGCACAAGTGGCCGCTGGTGGCAGCCTCTGCCCAGGAAGCAACATCTGCCCCTGGGGGGCCAGGCAGGCCTGCGGGGAGCCTTGGGGCGGGTATCGCCTAAGTCCTCTGCAGCTGCCCTGGGCAGCTGGGCCTCAGCCCCACAAGAAAGCGCAGCACTTTACATCATGTGCCCCGTCTGTCCCTGTGAGAGGAGTTTGTTCAAGGGAAGGCCGCACCTATGGCCCCAGCAGCTGGGAGGCGGAAGCAGGAAGGTCACAGTTCAAAGCCAGCCTCAGCAACCCAGTGCGGCCCTACCTTTGGGAGCAGATGACTTGGTTGCACAGGCCGAGCTCCAGGGGGCTCCTGCTGCTGTGTTGTAACTTGCTTCTCTGACAAGGCCAGCCGTTATGCCACGTGGGAAGTCCACTCGAGTCTCGCGGGGCTGAGAATGAGGTGTCCCAGGGCAGCATTGCTGCTGGGGAGAAAGCTGTGCCTCTGTTCCCCCTCCAGGGGGGCCCTGGTCTGCCCCTCCTCTCTCCAGAGCCAGCAGTGTCTCTCGTGTCTGGAGGTCCAGGGAAGGGGAGGGCTTTGTTTTGACATCACTTCCTTTTCAATGTTGTTGACTTCCCTGGGCCCCTGGGTGACCAGCCCCATCCCATTTTCAAATGAACCAATTTTCAGCCTCTAACCGGCTTCAACAGGGGGCAAGCATAGTCATCGGCCCTGCGGTTGAGATGTGGACATCTTTGGAGGCATTATTCAGCGGACCGCCCCCTCTGTCCACAGCCAGAGACCCTCCTTCCAGACAGATCCCACAAAGGCTCAGGGTCCTTGGCCAGAGAAGCCAGGAAGGTTGCAGCCCCGACAGCTGCTCGGCCGCGGCTCCTGCCTTCTGGAGCTCCCTGGCCTTGTGCTGGCCACTGTCCTGGGATCTAGTGGCCCCTGGGGGCAGCCTGCGGCCATGAGCAGCAAACCTGGGGCCTGGCCATGGGTGCAGCCCTGAGAAGGTGGGTTCCCGTGACGCAGACGGCCGCTGCTCCCAGTCCTCCACGCCTGCCAAAGAGGGAGGCAGCCGTTGCCATGGAGACCTGGAGGGCTCCTGCGCTGGGATTGCTAAGTCAGGGTTCATCCTAAACAAGAGAGGTGCCCAGCGCTGTGGGGCTGTGCCAGGTCAGCTCTGGTTAGAAGAGTGATATTTTTCCTATTAGCATCAGTTTTTCTGTCCGCACGACCGGAGAACAAATCGGGTGTTCACAACAGCGGGGGACGGACCCGAGGCAGTCTCAGGAAGGAGGCCTGCCGGCAAGTCGCATCTCCACAGCCACTCCAGGCCTGTGGCCATGGCAAGGGCGCCGGCTGCAGGCTGGCTTTGCTCACGTGCCCAGCAGAAGAGGCAAATGGCCAGCTTCAGGTGACCCCCGCAGGACAAGGAGGCAGGACAGGAGCAACATGCCCTGTGGGGTGCTGACAGGTGAGCCAGGCCCAGAGCCTCCAGAGCCTCCCTCCACGGGTCAACCTCCCTGGCCTCTACTGCCCCACTAGCCATGGGGCCCGCAGCTGCTGGTCCTGGAAGGAGGCCCCCACAGAAAGGCCATGCCTTGGGGCAGCGCTCGGCAGGAGGCAGCTGTTTCAAGGTCTCAGGCTCAGCTCCCCTCAGAGTCTATGAGGCCGCGGGGGCGGCAGGCCAGGGGCTGCGCACAGGGAGCGAGTTCCTGCTCATGGGCCTCTCTTCTCTTCAAGGGAGGACGCTCCGATTTGGGGTCTGTTTTGTGGTCGAGAGCTGGTTTCTGCAACTGGCTCAGAGATCAGGGGAATGTAGAGCAAAGGCCACACCCAGAAGGAGAGAGGGACAGGGAGGAAGCAAAAGGGAGTCCCCAATGGCAGCCTGTTGCATGCTCACGTCAGCCATTGTGCCCTCCTGTGACACCAGGACACCAGGTCCCTGTGGCTGCAGCCCAGTCACCTCTGGCCCCACCCTGCCTCAGCACCCCAGAGGCCAAGTAGGGGTAGACCCCGCCTGCCCTCCAGGTGACAAGAAGTGGGGCCAGTGACTGGGGAGGTCACCTGTCCCTGAGATGCTGTAGCATGAGAGCCAGGAGCAGGCTGGGCAGGCCGCTCCCGGAAGCTCTCTCCTAGCTCTCCCCTCCTGAGGGCAGCTGTGGGCCCTGCAGGGAAGGTCCATCCTGCACTTCTGTGGCCAGGTGCTCCCTGTGGGTGGGGGACACACCCAGGCTGCCACCAGTGTCCCCAGGGCCTTCTCAACAGCACCGTGGGGGGAGGGGAGGCCCTGAGGACAGTGGTGGCAGCCCTGGATGTTCCTGGGGCCCAGCCTTCTTGGCCCCACCTGGCGGGCTGGGCCTCATGTCCCCAGGCCAGGGAGGCAGCCCTTGTGCCCCTCAGCCCTCCCCACGCCACCTCCAACCACCACTTGGGTCCTTGACCTATGAGACCCTGCCTTACCCTGGCCAGGCAGGCCCAGGGCAGTTAGGAGGATGGTTGCCACGCCCCCCAGAACCTGCTTCTCCCTGGGGTAGGTCAGCATCCTCCAAACAGACTGAGGCCCCACAGGGACTTCCAGGGGCCAGGGAAGTGACAGGCCATTTACCATGCAGGACCCCAGCCCCGAGAGGAAGGGCTGTCCTCCAGTTAGCATGGCCACCAAGGCCAGAGCCAAGGCTTCCCAAGCCATCCTACCACCCAGGCCCCCAGCCCGGAAGCCAGCGTCACTTTGGGCACAGCACCATGGGTGAAGGGGCCACGCAGACATGACCAGGAGGCTGTCCACCCCCAAGGACACCCACCCAGAGCCCCACACCTGATGAGGCCAACAGAACCCAGCGTATCTGGGGGAGGGGCAGAGTCCCTTCTAGCTTTGCAGGCCTTCCCTCCTCAGCCCTGGCTGATATGGGTCCCCAGGGGTAATGGAGGGCGGGGAAGGCATCGCCCCAGGCTCTCAGTCTTGGGGTTACCTGTGGGATCAGGAACTGTAGCCTGGCCTCGGGTTAGCAGGAGCAGGATCACACAAGGAACTCCTACCTGGACCTGAGTGTCTGTGACTCCAGGAGGGGCCCCTGGGAGGGGTGGAGGGTGCAGCTGGGAAACCCAGGTGAGGCTCTTCCACGAGAGCCCGCCTCGTGAGGATTCCCATTCCGTGGCCTGTGAAGGGGAGAATTCAAATGATGCACCAGCATTGAATAATTTGAGAAGGAAATTAAGAAACCAATTCCATTTGCAGTGAAACACAAAAGAACAAAATACCTAAGCACAGATTTGAAAGCCACAGGCCCCAAGCAGATGAGGAGACAGCCCAGGTTTGGGTTGGAAGACCTGATAATGGCAAAACGGCGGTGCCCCAACGGGACCCAAGACTTCACACCAGCCCCGGCCCAGTTCCCCTGCCTTCTTTGCAGAAATAGAAAGAACAAGTTCATATGGGCACTGCCAGGGGCCCCAAGTAGCCAACAACACTGAAAAGGAAGAATTAGATTCATGTCACTTAATTTCAACTTACTTCAAAGCTACCTCATGGTACAGAAATAAGGGCAGGTGGACAAGCCAGCGGGACCAGTGGAGAGCATGTAAGCCAACCCAAGGACCCAACTTGACTGAGCAACTGATTGTTGAGAAGGAGGACAGACCATTTGTGGGTTAGGAACAGCCTTGCAATGGGGCTGGGCCAGTTGGAGAGTGCAGCTGAGCCCCCACCTCACCCCAGGTAGGAGGACAAGCTCATAGTGGGCCCATGACCTCAATATACAAGCTAAAATGACAAAGCATCTGGAAAAAAATTCAGGGGTGCACATTTATGACCTTACATATAGCAACTAAGTCTTAGATTTGACACCAAGAGCACATGACAAAAGAAATGATACACTAGAATTCATAAAAATAAAAGTTTCCATGCACAGAACATCTTCAAGACTGTGGAAAACAACCTACAGGAGGGGGAAAATGTTTCAAATCATGGAACAGATAAGGTTCAATATTCATAATATATCAAAAGTACTGACAGCAGTCGCCAGGCCTGTTATCCCAGCCACTCAGGAGGCTAAGGCAAGAGGATTGCAAGTTGGAGCCCAACCTAAGCAACTTAGCAAGGCCCTAAGCAACTTAGACCCGGTCTCAAAATAAAATTTAAAAAGCGCCGGGGTGCTGCTCAGTGGCAGAGCACTTTGTCTAGCACATAGAAGCCCTGGGTTCCATCCCCAGCTCTGAAGAAAACAATCAGCAGCAGCAGCAGCAGCTCCTCTGCTAAGCAGGACCGAGGCCCTCACAGAAAGGCCTTCAGGTAGCTTCCAGCCCTTCTCACCTTCTGCCTTCCACCAGGTGAGAATGCAGCGTTGAAGGCACCACCTAGAGCGACAGCCGGTCCTCACCAGACCCCAAGCCCGTGAGCCTCTTCCTCTGGGACTTCCCAGTCTTCAGACCTAGGAGAAATACATTCTATCATTCTGCCTAAATGACAGCATGAACATATTCAGACTCAAGGAAGTGCCAGGGACAGTAAGAGACCAGGTCTCAGGGAACAGAGGGCCAGGCTGGAACATCCCAGGCCTCAAGGACTGCTGCCTTTGGGGCACAACACCGGCAACTTGGCCTGTCCTCTGCACTGGGCCAGGGGCTCTGGAGGAAGACCCCTTGCGAGCAGTCTTGCAGGGAGGCCACAGGACCAGGAACAGAGCCTGCCACCCACCTCTGCATGAGTGAGTGTCCAAGCAGGGCCTCCAGGCCTGGCCAGACTTTGGCATGGGCTGAGCCGACAGCTGGGCTTGGGTGGGATGGCTGTGCTGGTGTCATTCCCTATTGCTCCAGACAAGTCCCAAACCCAGCAGCTTGGGGCAGCAGATGTTCTGCATCTCAGGGTCAGGGGTCCAGAAGCGGCGGCTCCACTGGGCATCTGGCTGGGGTCCCCCAGGCAGTGGCCATCAAGCTGTGGCTCAGACAAGCCACTGGGTCTCAAGGACCAGCCTTGGACATGACCTGCCATCACTGCTGCCCTGCTTTACTGGCCCAGAGCAGAGGGCACCACTCAAGGGCTGTGGCCTCCTGTGGCAGTTGTCTTCCCAGGCCTCTGCCCAGGCACCAGCCTGTGTCCTTCTGCTCCAGGCTGCAGCCACAGCGCGATCCAAAGCTCAGCACCCTGCCCAACAGGGACCCCCACACCAGGCCCCAGGGGCCTCCTCCCA